GGTTTCACCATGTTGGCCAGGCTGGTCTTGAACTCCTGACCCAGTGATCCGCCCGCCTTAGCCTCTCAAAGTGCTGGGATTACAGACATGAGCCACCGTGCCTGGCCTCTTTTTTTTTTTTTTCCTTAGAGAGAGTCTCACTCTGTTGCCCATGCTGGAGTGCAGTTGCATGATTCAGCTCACTGCAACCTCCACCTCCTGGGTTCAAGTGATTCTCCTGCCTCAGCCTCCCAAGTAGCTGGGACTACAGGCACATGCCATCATGTCCAGCTAATTTTTTTCTTTTGTATTTTTGGCAGAGATGGGGTTTCACCATGTTGGTCAGGCTAGTCTCAAACTCCTGACCTCCTGCGATTTGCCCGCCTGGGCCTCCCAAAGTGCTGGGATTACAGGCATGAGCCAGCATGCCCAGCTAATTTTTGCATCTTTAGTAGAGACAGGGTTTCACCATGTTGGCCAGGCTGGTGTTGAACTCCTGACCTGGTGATCCACCCGCCTCAGCCTTTCTAAGTGCTGGGATTACAGGCGTGAGCCACTGACCTGGCCTGGACATTTTCTCTTTGCCTTTCAGACCTCTTTCCATCTTCTGCACTCTGCCTCATGCCCCGGCAGGCTGAGCTTCCATGGCGTCCCTTGCCCTCCTGTTTTCTGTGGGTACATCCGATGGGAAGCCCCAGCAGCAATTGGGAGGGCAGTGGAATAAAGGTGAAGTATTCCACTGCTCAGTCCCTTCCAGACCCTGCAAGGCTTCCACTCCTGTGGGGCCTCTTCTGCAGCAACCTTTCTCCAGGTTCTGACAAGCATTCCATCCCTGACCCCTACAAGCCAAGCTTCCCCGCTGCTTCCAGCCCCAGAGTGCTCCATGGACCCTTTTTGTCTTTCCTTCTTTTTGTGAATTGCACCTTGATGAACTCTCCTTGGTTATTCTTATGAATGTTCCATTGTTCCATTTGTTTCTGTTGAGACCTTAGCTGATACACTCTGTCATCCTCCAGCCTCAGCCTGGCTTCCTCTACTCTGTGGAGTCTTTCCTTCTCTGTTTCCACCAGGGCCCTGGACAGACTTCCTCTCTCAAGCCCCTGGGTCTCTGTTGCCTGTATTGTTGCCCTCCGTGTCTCCCTCTCTCTGCAGTAGGAACTTGCCTTTGTAGCTGAGGCACTAGGCCCTTGAATGGTACTAGCTCAGTAGATGCTCAGTAAATTATTTTTTGAGACAGTTTTGATCTTGTTGCTCAAGGCTGGAGTGCAGTGGCTTGATCTCGGCTCGCTGCAAACTCCGCCTCCTGGGTTCAAGCAATTTTCCTGCCTCAGCCTCTGGAGTAGCTGGGATTACAGATGTCCACCACCACGCCCAGCGAATTTTTTGTATTTTTAGTAGAGACAGGGTTTCACCAGGTTGGTCTCAAACTCCTGACCTTAGGTGATCCACCTACCTCAGCCTCCCAAAGTGCTGGGATTACAGATGTGAGCCGTGGCACCTGGCCTCAGTAAATGTTTGTTGAATAATTGATGGTTGAACTCAGAAAAAGGGTGCCAGGGAGAGCTATGAGAGTCGCAGACCAGGGAGTCTTTGTTTTATGCTGGGCATAAAGGAGAACAGGACAGGGTTTTTGTATGGAGACAACACAGTGAAGAACCTACCTGGGAATTGTCAAATTGATCAGGGAAACGTAATTAAAAAATTTTTTTAAGCTCTGTTTTATTTACTAAGAATGTTTTTTCTCCACACATCCAGACTTATTTCTCAAAAGGTTTGCTATAAAAGTTGACACACACACACAAAAGTAGAGACAAGGGTGGAACACATTGTCTTTCTTTGCTGCAGTATACATATATTTCTTGAGATGGAGTCTTGCTCTGTAGCCAGGCTGGAGTGTAGTGGCGCAATCTCGGCTCACTGCAACTTCTGCCTCCTGGGTTCAAGCAATTCTTCTGCTTCAGCCTCCCAAGTAGCTGGGACCACAGGTGCATGCCACCATGCCCAGTTAATTTTTGTATTTTTAGTAGAGACAAGGTTTCACCATGTTGGCCAGGATGGTCTCGATCTCTTGACCTCGTGATCCGCCTATCTTGGCCTCCCAAAGTGCTGGGATTACAGGTGTGAGCCACTGTGCCCAGCCTGCTGCAGTATATTTAAAAGCAAATCCCCATTTCATTGCTACAGATACCAATATGCATCACTGGAAAACAACAGCATTTTAAAAACATGATTGCTGGTGGAATCAGGAAGGATGTTTGGCTTAACTTAGAGACTGTAAACAAAGGGTAGGGAAGAGTGGGTGTTTTTCCACTCAGGTGTGTTAGTGGTCAGGTTCCTCAGGACAATGTTATGTTTTTTTCCATGACATGGTGGTGAATGCACAGGGACCTTGTAAGATTTCCTGGCATGAAGATGATCTAAGGAGGAGAATGTCCACCTGAGTGGAAGAAGACCCCCTAGGCTAGGTGAGGGCAGACTCACTTAAATCCAGTAATATTTCCATGTCACTTGGAGTTCCTGGTTGCAAACCACAGAAATGGCTCTGAGTGATGGGCAAGGCCAAAGGGGTAAAATTTCACCTGGAGTGGCTGTTAGCAACAGTTTTTGTTTTTTTTATTTGAGATGGAGTCTTGCTCTGTTGCCCAGGCTAGAGGAGTGCAATGGTGCAATCTCTGCTCACTGCAGCCTCCACATTCTAGGCTCAAGTGATTCTCCTGCCTCAGTCTCCTGAGTAGCTGGGACTACAGGGACATGCCAGCATGCCTGGCTACTTTTTGTGTGTTTAGTAGAGACGAGTTTCATCATGTTGGTCAGGCTGGTCTCGAACTCCTGATCTCCTGATCCCCCTGCTTCAGCTTCCCAAGTGCTGGGATTATAGGCGTGAGCCACTGCACCAAGCCTAGCAACAGTTCTTAATTATTTTCTCCTCCTCCTCCTTCATACCTTCACTTGGCTTTATTATTATTTTTTTCTTTTTAAAGGCCAATCGCTGTGGCTCCTGTCTGTAATCCCAGTATTTTGGGAGGCCCAGGCGGGAGGGTCGCTTAAGCTCAGGAATTTGAGACCAACTGGACCACATGGCAAAACCCCATCTCTACAAAAAATACAAAATTATCCGGGCATTATGGTGTGCACCTGTAGTGCCAGATACTTGGAAGGCTGAAGTGGGAGGACTGCTTAAGCCTGGGATAGAGGGTGCAGTGAGCTGTGATTGTGCCACTGCACTCAGCCTAGGCAACAGAGAGAGACCCTGTCTCAACAAATAAAAATAAATAAATAAAGAAACTGTCAGCATGTGGTACTGCCAGTTTTTAAGTCATCGTACTAGGTATGTAGTGTTATCTTACTGTGGTTTCAATTTGCATTTCACTAGTGATTACGATTGAGAGTTTTTAATGTCACTCTGGCCTGGACTGGGGTTGAGTGATTTGTAGAATAGACTGGATTTTTTTTTTAAATGCCAAATAAAGGAACTATTCATTCATTATCTTGGAATGATTAGAAAAGCCACGAAACCTGCCAAGGATTTTGCCCAGGGTGGGGAAAACCCACCTCTGGACAAAGGCTAGAGCTATCCTATGATTGCCCTGTGGAGTGTTTGTTCAGTGAAATGGCAATGCCCTTCGCACTCCTCTTTCCCCCAGCACTCGCTCCTCTCCCCGCCACACTTTTGCTCCCAGATGGTGCAGCACTCATTTTTCACCTGTGGAATTCTTCTTTAAGCGAATGTCACATCCTTTTGAAGCACCCAGGGGCCAGGCATGGTGGCTTACTTCTGTAATCCCAGCACTTTGGGAGGCTGAGGTGGGAGGATCCCTTGAGGCCAGGAGTTTGGGATTAGCCTGAATGTAGCAAGATCCCATCTAATACAAAAAATGGAAAAAAAATTAGCTGGGCATGGTGGTATACACCTGTAGTCCTAACTACTTGGCAGACTGAGGCAGGAGGATTGCCTGAGCCCCGGAATTCGAGGCTACAATGAGCTATGCTTGCACCACTGCACTACAGCCTGGGCAACAGAGTGAAACCCTGTCTCTAAAATGAATGCATGAATGAATAATAAATAAATAATAGGGCTGGGTGTGGTGGCTCACGCCTGTGATCACAGCAATTTGGGAGGCTGAGGTGGGTGGATCATTTGAGGTCAGGGGTTCAAGACCAGCCTGGACAACATGGTGAAACCCTGTCTCTACTAAAAATACAAAAAAGTTAGCTGGGCATGGTGGGGGTGGGGTCCCTGTGGTCCCAGCTACTCAGGAGGCTGAGACAAGATAATTGCTTGAACCCGGGAGGTGGAGGTTGCAGTGAGCAGAGATTGCACCACTGCGCTACAGCCCGGGTGACAGAGCGACTTATGTCGCCTGCGCCGGTCCCTGACACAGAGTTGGCAAATACCAGACCCTCAGCACATTTGTCGAAATGGATGAATCTCAAAGGATTCTCTGGGAAGGCAGGTGGCCAGAGAGCGGTGGGGACCTCGAGGGACTTCCCGCTCTCATTGAGGTGAGGAGCTGCTTTCCTGGAGCAGGGAAACTGAGTCACCGGCTCCCTCTCTCATAACCCAGGGCCGATCCTAGAGCTTGTGGTCGCAGTAACTGCGGGACTGTCTGAACACGTGTGTTTGACAGGTCAGAAAAAGGGGGATCCAAGAGAGTGGATGCTCAGAAAACATGAATGGGAAAGACAGACTGGAAAGGACAAAAGTGGGGTGTAGAGGGCCGGCTGAGACGTGGGTTGAGGGCCCGAGCGGGGATGAAGGGTGAGGACAGGAGCGGGGGACGAGCTGAGAGGAGGGTTTTGGGCTCTGCGGACTGCGTGGCTGCGGGGAGATGGAAGCGGCGGGGACAAGGCTCCGACGCAGAAGGAAGAGCGCCGAGGCTCTGGGTGGGAGCTGAGTGCACCGGGCATGCGGCGGCGGGGTCGTAGTCGCGGACTCTGGGGGTCGTGGGTGGCCGGCGCGGCAGGTGCAGGGGGCGGAGCCATGCGGGGGCGGGGCCTGTCGAGGCGGGGCCGCGAGGGGCGGGGCCGACGCGGGCCGGGGGCGGGGCGCGCCGCTAGTCTCCAGCGAGAGCCGCGGGGGCAGGGGAGCTGGAGCGGGAGCTGAAGCCGGAGCCCAGGCTGGAGTCGGGGCTGGGGCCGTGCAGGAGCGGGCTCCAGCGACATGGGGTCGACCGACTCCAAGCTGAACTTCCGGAAGGCGGTGATCCAGCTCACTACCAAGACGCAGGTGCGCCACGGGGCCTCCGCCTCCTCATCCACCTGCCGGGCTGGGGGCTGGGCAGGGCCGGGGGTGCGCGAACTTGGCTCGCCGGGAGACTGGGGGGCACGGGCGGGCCCCAAGCGTGACGCCAAAGCCAGCGTCAGAGTGGGACCCCGCGGCCTGTATCTCGAAGCAGCATCCCCTGGCCCTAGTCCCCCACCCCCAGCCCCCTCTCCTGGAAACACCCCTCTCCTTGAAGCCGCTGCTGCCTCCTTAGGCTGACGTGTGCCTACTCCCCGAGCCGGCGACACAGCTGTCCGCCCCCTGTTCCGCCCCCTCCCCACCCCGGCGTCCCCAGCTTAGCATCTCCAGCTTCCCGTTGCCCCTACCCACCTATCCACCGTCCACTCCCCTCCCTGCCCCTCATTGCCCCCGGGTCCCGGACACACAGTCCTGGTTGACTCAACGCAAACAAAGCCTCGCTGGCGCCCGCCCGGGTGGGGAAAACAGCTGGTGCGCCGCGGCAGCGGCCTCACTGGGCCCTGGTCGATGCCCGCGGGCAGGGAAGGCCTAGGTCTTCCTGGGAACACGCAAAGAGTGGCTGGCAGCGAGGCAGCCTTGCAAGGGGGACGTGTCTCTAGGCCTACAAGCACAGCCTCCCAGCTGGGGATCTCTCGGGGGTCTCCCCCGAGGCTCTGCTATGGAAAGGCTGTGTTAGCCTGTGTCCTCTGTTCTCTGGCTCAGGGATGAGGACCCGGAGGATGGTCCTGAGTCAGCTGGTGAGGGGCCTAGGGACCCTTCAGCCTAGTCCATGCTCATAACTCTCCTGTGAGTTCACAAGTGGCCCCATGGCCACCTCCTTGTCCCCAACACACACTACTTGGCCCCAGCAAGGCTGCTTCTCTGCCCACCCCTTCTCTCCTGCCTTTTTGAAGCAGGCCACTGGCCACAGAGATGCTCAGCCCTGACTCTCCAGGTCCCCTGTTTTTAGGGGACTCAGGACCTGCTGCCATCTGGGACCTTTCTTTTTCCTGGCCCCCACCTGACTGCTCTCCAGGGCTCTCTCTTGCTGTGGGCGGGTAGCCTAGAATGGAGGAAGCCAGCTGGTCGAAGCTTCAGGGGCCAGCCCTTGTTCCCTCACTCATTCCCCATCCTGGAAAGGTCAGGTGCACTGCACATGCTCATGGCCTCTGGAGAGTCCAATCCTGGCTGAAAGGCACTTGATAGAGACCAGACGACACTTTTCTCCACTCCCCATGGCTCCTGGGTTGTTTTGGACCTTGGCTTTCTTGGGATGGAATTTTTATTTGTGGGTGGCAGGGAAGGTGGCAAGTGGGCTGGCCCCTCAGTGTAGGGCTTTGGGGAGAGGAGAGGGGTTGCGGGGAGAGGAGGGGCGGCAGGGAGGAAGGCAGGCTCCCATGTTTACTGACCTGGGAGAAATGCCTTGATGAAGGTTTGCACTGTGGGCTCAGCAGCTGGGGTCCTTTGCTGGGCCCAGTGGGACCAGCTCAGCAGGGTTCCAAAGGATCTGGAGTGACCTAGATTCCTACCTGCTCAGGCCTTTTCCCTAAAATACTGTGCCCCTCTGTCTTTCCCCGGCTACAGCCCTATGACGGGCTGCTTGAGATGGTGCTGTTCTCTTTCCCAGCTGAGGGCACTGAGTAGACTTGGAATAGAGCTTAGATAGGCTGGAGACCAGACCAGCCTTCCGGAGAGCACTGACTGGGTCCTGTAGGTTGTGGGAGGCGGGAGGGGGTGCCTGGGCTGCCTGGAGTGAGAGGCCCTCAGCTGCTAAAGCCTTGGACTCTGTAATTGACCTGGCTTGAGTGGCTTGGGTGTGAGGACCAGAACACAGATGATCATCACTGATCTTACCACTTGGAGTCCTCAAGGAAATTCGGTCCAGTTATCCATAGGATGATATGTGGTTCCAAGCTCTTAGAGGGTGTGGCTTGGGCAGCAGACAGGCAGATCCAGCACCTTTTCCCGTGGCCTGGGCCTGTGTCACTGCTGTGCCTCCTTCCTCGCCTTCCTGCCCTGCATCCTGTTTTTTTCCTGCCCTACGGTCCAACCCTGGGCCAGGCTTGACCCTGGTCCCAAGAGCCAGCAGCTTCAGCTCTGTTTCCTGTCCCTTCCTCAGAGTAGGTGGGGCTCTGGAGGAGATATTCCCAGATCTGGAACCCTCTCCCGGATCCCACCTGTTTGGAATTCTCTGCTGCAGTCCAGATGAGACCTGGCGGGTGCATGTTTACACATGTGTACATGCATGTACATAGGAATACATGGTGACACTGTCCTCCAGAGCAGGCTTAGGGGGCTCAAGTATATTGGGGAACCTTCCTTCTGCACGCCCTGAGAGTCAAAAGATACAACTGGTCCCCCAGGTCTGAGTGGGGGTCTGATCTGAGCAGGGGCCTGGAAAAGCTGGGTTAAGAAAATCTGATTTTGGCCAGGCGTGGTGGCCCATGGCTGTAATCCCAGCACTTTGGGAGGCAGAGGCGGGAGGATCGCTTGAGCCCAGGGGTTTAAGACCAGCCTGGGCAACAGAGCAAGACCCTATTTCTTAAAAAAAAAAAAAAATTAGCTGGGCCTGGTGAGGTACGCCTGTTGTACCAGCAGCACAGGAGGCTGAGGTGGGAGGACTGCTTGAGCCCAGGAGTCTGAGGTTGCAGTGAGCTATGATTGCACAACTTCACTCCAGTGTGGGCAACTGAGCATAATAACCCTGACTCAAAAACAAACAAAAGAAAAAGAATAAAGGAAGAAGAATATCTAGTTTCCCACTAGGGTAGCTCAGTTTCTGTGGCCCTAGCAGCAGGGGCCTGCCCACCTCCAGCAAAAACACTTTCTTCAAAGATCAGATATTAGAAGCTTCCTTGGGTTGGGTGGAGGACAGCTGGGGCCATTGAGGCAGGCGCTGAGCCACGTCTCTCTCATCAGAAGCCTAAGGGGCCTCAGTGACCCTGACTAACTCCTGTAGCATCGGCTTGGTCTGGGCGAGTGGTCACCAAATCCGAATGTCCAGGCTCCCACAGTGGGACCAGGAGAGAACGCCCAAGCTCAGGAAAGAGGGAGACAAAGGCCTTTTCCTGAGGTTCAAGGCTGGAATTTGTCACGGCCAGGATCTTGCCTCTGCTTCCAGAATGGGCTGTGCTGAGGCCTCCTGAGTCTCTCTCTTCATTTTGGATTTGGCCCCCCTGGTGACACTGCCTGATGAACTAGGTCAGAGGTCATGTAGACTTGTACTTAGCTGAGTTTCTCCCCTCTGAAGGGGGTAGCAGCTACCTGGGAGGTGGGGAAAGTGTCAAGGATGGTAGCTTCCCAGAGGCGCTCCCAGATGGCTCTGTGGGTTTTCTGGGATGTTGTTCCTCACCCTACCCTGGCTCCAGGCCACCCAGACTGTGGTTCCATGCCTCTGCACTCCAGGGAGTGCCAGACGCTATCCTGGCTGAGGGCTGGAGGGCCAGCAAACCCCAGCCCCAGGGCCCTCCTTTGGCCTTTGTTCTGCTCCCCCAGGGAAGAACTTGCTCTACCAGTTCTGGGACTGAGAGTCACAGCCACATGGTACCCTGCAGCTCCCTGGGGTGCGGTGGAGGTGTTTGCTCTGGGAGTGGGCCGGGGTATGCCTGGACCTTGGTGAGGCATGCCACCCCAGCTCTGAGTTTGGAGAGCCCCACTGGTGCTCAGCCCTGCTCTGTGGCCAGGCTGAAGGGGTCCCCAGGACTGAACACAGCTTCAGTGGAACAAATATTGGCTGAACATCTGCCATAGGCTTCACCTGCAAGGTCAGGGACTGATGGGGCTTTATAAAGGCACATGTACCCACACTGTGGAGGCTGGAACTATGCAGGGTGGGGGTGGGTGGGGGATGGAGGTTCCTAGGTGGGAGCAAGCAAGTCTGGGGCCTGGGAGGCTTCTTAGAAGAAGTAGCTTCAGAGAACAGAATTACTATCATTAAATATTTAGAGACAGTGTCTCATTCTGTCACACAGGCTGGAGTACAGTGACACAATCACAGCTCACTGCAGCCTTGAACTCCTGGGCTCAGGCGATCTTTCTGCCTCGGCCTTCCAAGTAGCTGAGCTGACAGGGTATGCCACCATGCCCAGCTAATTTTTTTTATTTTTGTAGAGGTGGTATTTTGCCATGTTGTTCAGGCTGGTCTCAAACTCCTGGGCTCAAGCAGTCCACCTGCCTCAGCCTCCCAAAGTGTTGGGACTACAGGCGTGAGCCACCATGCCCGGCCATCATTATTATTATTATTTGGAGATGGAGTCTTGCTCTGTCACTCAGGCACAATCTCAACTCACTGCACCCTCTGCCTCCTGTGTTCAAATGATTCTCCTGCCTCAACCTCCCGAGTAGCTGGACAGGCATCCGCCACCACGCCCAGCTAATTTGTTGTATTTTAGTAGAGACAGGGTTTCACCATGTTGCCTAGGCTGGTCTCTAACTCCTGACCTTATGATCCCATGCCTTGGTCTCTCAAAGTGTTGGGATTCCAGGCGTGAGCCATTGTGCCTAGCCTATTATTATTATTATTTTGAGATGGAGTCTTGCTTTGTCACCCAGGCTGGAGTGCAGTAGCGTAATCTCAGCTCACTGCAGCCTCTCCCTCTGGGTTCAAGTGATTCTTTTGCCTCAGCCTCCCGAGTAGCTGGGACTAAAGGCGTGTGCCACCACGCCTGGCTAATTTTTGTATTTTTAGTACAGACGGGGTTTTATCATGTTGGCCAGGCTGGTCTCAAACTCCTGACTTCGTGGTCTGCCAGCCTCTGCTTCCCAAAGTGCTGGGGTTACAGGCGTGAGCCACCCTGCCCAGCCATTATTATTTTGTGAGACAGAGCCTTGCTCTGTTGCCCAGACTAGAGTGCAGTGGTGCCATCACACCTCACTGCAGCCTTGACCTTCTGGGCTCAAGAGATTCTTCCACCTCAGCCTCCTGAGTAGTTGGGACTACAGGCCCACCTGGCGAATTTGTTTTTATTTTTTGTAGAGACAGGGTCTCTACAAAAGTCATGCTGCCCAGGCTGGTCTTAACTCCTGGGCTCAAGCAATTCTTCCATCTTGGCCTCCCAAAGTGCTAGGATTACAGACATGAGCCACCACACCCGCCCCAGAATTATTTTTAAATAAGATATATGTTTTTCTGATGATCAGAGTAATGTGTATGTAGTGCAGACTTGTGGTAGCGGGGCCTTCGGGTTTTCTTGGCTCTAGGATTTCAGAGAAGGTAAAAAGCTGTGTTGGAGAGAGCAGGGAAGGTGTCTTCAGGAAGTGACATTCAGAAGGAGCCTTAAGGGATGGGGCTGAGGAGGTACACCTGCTGTGGGCACTCTGGTCCCTTAATAGATGAACATTCAAAAGGAAAAAAATAGTAACATGTGCTCTTACCAAAAAATATGAAGAAAAATCTAAAACCACCCAGAGAGAGAGTTGTTATTAACATTCTGGTTCATTTTCTTCTAGTCTTTTATTCATGTATAATTTAACACAAAATTGTGAGCATCCTAGGGGAAGTTTTATATCTTGTCTTTTTTTTTTTTTTGAGATGGGGTTTTGCTCTTGTAGCCCAGGCTGGAATGCAGTGGCACAATCTCGGCTCACTGCAACCTCAGCCTCCTAGGTGCAAGTGATTCTCCTGCTTCAGCCTCCTGAGTAGCTGGGATTACAGGTGTCCACCACCACATCTGGCTAATTTTTTGTATTTTTAGTAGAGACAGGGTTTCACCATGTTGGCCAGGCTGGTCTCCAACTGCTGACCTCAGGTGATCAACCTGCCTCGGCCTCCTAAAGTGCTGGGATTACAGGCATGAGCCACCACGCCTGGCGGGGCATGTGTGTTTTTAAGGCCTGTTGCCTCCTTGGGAATGGATTTTGGAATGCATTGTCATAGGGGAAGAGGGGAAGAGAGAACAGCCCTGGTGAGGGTAAAGAGAAGAGACAGCAGGGTTGAGTCCAGGGGTAGTAAATGCAGGTGTGTGTGTATGACACAGGTGTGTATGCATGTGTGTCTGTGTGTATGTATAAGGCATGTTTCTGTGAGATCCTGGCTGAGTGCCAGGCTGAGGTTTGGATTTGTTCCAGCAGGCAGTGGGGAGCCCCTGCAGGGCTCTGGGTGAGGAAGCAGTTCCTGTGGTGCTGTGTGTGGTTCATGGGTTGCTGGCAGCATAGAGCCAGGTTGAAGGAGGTGGATTTAAAGGTGGGAGGCCTGGAAAGGGTGGCCTGGGCTGCAGCGCTGGAGGTGGGCGCAGAGAGGAGCGAGTTGGGGTGAGAACGCAGAGGTGAATTCAGCAGATCTGGCAGCTGTTTTGGGTGTGCTGAGAGAGGGCGGAGGCTGGAGGCCTGTGGCAGGCAGCTTGGGTGACTTGAAACACAGTTCGAGTCCCCTTTGTCTTCTTTCCGTGGGGAGAGGGCCTGGTCTTGACCTGGATCCCTGGGCATTTGACCTAACGATGTGGCCTGGGGCCATGACCAGGTGGGGAGGTCAGCCTGCCTTGCCAGGGGAGGATGGTGACTTAACCAGCATCACATAGCCCCTCAGGGGTGGCGCTGGGCTTTGGCTGACTCTGCCTAGCTGTCCTCTGACCATGTATGCCCGGTGTCTCTAGCCTGACTGTGCTGGCCAGGGCTTGTGGTGGCTGAAGGATGTCCCCCACCCCTGTGGGAGGGCTCTGGGACCCCAGCGGGAATGAGGTAGGGGGACCCTGGCTTCCCTCTTGGGGTCTCTCCTGGCCATGGTTCGGACAAACTGTGGGCCCTTTGGCTAGGAGTCGTGTAACTCTGGACCCTTGGTTCCCACACAGCCCGTGGAAGCCACCGATGATGCCTTTTGGGACCAGTTCTGGGCAGACACAGCCACCTCAGTGCAGGATGTGTTTGCACTGGTGCCAGCAGCGGAGATCCGGGCTGTGCGGGAAGAGTCCCCCTCCAACTTGGCCACCCTGTGCTACAAGGTGAGGGCCGCCCAGACCCTTGCTGCCACACTTCCACCCTCCCTGCCCACAGTGGGAGAAGGCAGGCATCCAGGCCCTCCCACCCCCTGGTCCAGGCAGTCCTGCGGCTTCACCCAGCTCTCCCACTTCTCTCTCTGTGGTTCTTCTCTCTGCGGGAGGGACCATGGCAGCCTCGTTTATGGGGGCTTCTCCAGGCCACATCTAAACTGAGAACCTTTGGAAGATCAGCTCATTCAGCTCCTTCTGTGGGGTGGGTACTGTTAGTATCACCAGTTTACAGATAGGGAAACTGAGGCTGGGACAGAGTCACTTAGCTAGGCCTCAGCCATCCAGTGGTGGGCTGGGTTCTGCCTGTCCGATGCTCTCAGCTGCTCTGGCCTGTGTCCCAGGCCCCCCAGGGGTAGTAAATGCAGGTGTGTGTGTATGACATACAGGCCAACCGCAACTGCAGAGCCACCTGCCAGGCGGCCCCACTGTCTCTCCTCCACGGCCTGGGTGCCCACCCTGACTCCAAGTGCCAGGGTCCCCTCCCCGCCTTCCAGCCTGCCTTCTGCTCCTGCCTGCCCCCACAGGCCGTGGAGAAGCTGGTGCAGGGAGCGGAGAGCGGCTGCCATTCGGAGAAGGAGAAGCAGATCGTCCTGAACTGCAGCCGGCTGCTCACCCGTGTGCTGCCCTACATCTTCGAGGATCCCGACTGGAGGGGCTTCTTCTGGTCCACAGTGCCTGGGGCAGGACGAGGAGGGGTCTGTTGGCCTGGCCAGGGCTGAGTGGGAGGCAGAGTCAGGGTCACAGGGAGAGTGCCCTTCAGGGCGGGCCATGCTCCTCCAAGCCTCTCTGGGATTTGGGAAGCGCAGGGGTGGGGCCAGTGGGTACTGCTGAGGGATGGTGTTTGATGCCACCTCCTTGGGCCTTCAGCTCTTTTCCCATAGTGGTCTCTGCCCCCACAGTCCAGAGGAAGTAGACTGTAGAGAGAAGCTGAGAGCCAAGGGTCACTGGGCAGAGGCAGGGGCAGAGTAGCTGGGCCCTCTGAGGGCCAGAGAGGGACCGTACTGTCCTTTCTCCCCCACACCACCTGCCCACCTGCCTTGGGTTTATCTCCAGGTGAGGTGCTGAGGGGTATGACATAGTGATTCCTAGCAGGGCTGAGACTCCTGGGGTTGGGGTCACTGCCCAGCCCCCTCCAATCGGTAAGGGAGGTTCCCTTGCGGCTCCTGCCCCGCCCACTCCAGTCAGTAGGGGAGGTTCCCTTGCTGTTCCTGCCCCGCCCACTCTAGTCAGTAGGGGAGGTTCCCTTGCTGTTCCTGCCCCGCCCCCTCCAGTCAGTTGGGGAGGTTCCCTTGCTGTTCCTGCCCCGCCCCCTCCAGTCAGTAGGGGAGGTTCCCTTGCTGCCCCTGGCCCAGCTCCCTGCTCTGCCCCGCTTCTGCCTTGGGAGGTTTGGGGCAACCAGGAGTCCACTTCCTCTTCCTTCATTCCTCTGCCCATGGGTGCTTGCCTGGGCTCAGTCCTGTCCTCCACCACCCCCCAAGCCCTGGGCCACCTCTCCCTGGCCAACTCTCCCTGAGGCAGCCTGTGGGTGCTGTGCCCTCAGCAGGGAGAAGACGATGACGAGAATGCCAGGCCCCTGGCTGAGTCCCTGCTCCTGGCCATTGCTGACCTGCTGTTCTGCCCGGACTTCACGGTCCAGAGCCACCGGAGGAGCACTGTGGTGAGGGCCCCCAGCCCCCGCCTCCAGGCCGGGACAGGCTCTGGTCCTGGCTTGGGGCCAGGCCAGTTGGAGTTCCCTTGGGTGGGATGCATTAGGGGCCGGGGGGCTCCAGGAGAGCTGAGCTGCCTGGCACATGTGGGCCTGGGTAGAGGGTGGTAGCTGGTACAGCTGGAGGGAAGCCAGATGGGGCTGGCCCGGCTGGGCGCCTTCTGATAGCTGGGTACAGACACCCATTGTCTTTGCCTGCCCAGGGTGTGTGGGGGTTCGGGGCTGGGACACAGGAGGCCTGGCACTCTCGCTTCCTGTAGTGGCATGGACTCCACCTTGAGTGTTCTCTGCTCACCCCCCCACTAGGGGCACTGGATTCCCTGCCTGCCCCCTCCCTCTCTCCCTGTCCCAAACTGGACCGAGCAAATGAAAAAATCAGTGTGAGATGGAAGAAAAATGAGTTTTCAACAGGCCTGAGAATATTCGCCCCTGCCCTGTGCACGAGGGCTGGGGCATTTTGGGGACCTGTCTTTAGGAGAATTGGGGGTCTCTGCCCATGGGACTGTACAAGGCTTGAGGTGGCCGGGTTCTGACCCAGGCTGCTCACCTCTCACCCCCTAACCCGGCCTTTCCTGGCCCCGTCCCCAGGACTCGGCAGAGGACGTCCACTCCCTGGACAGCTGCGAATACATCTGGGAGGCTGGTGTGGGCTTCGCTCACTCCCCCCAGCCCAACTACATCCACGACATGAACCGGTCAGCTTTGCCCAGACCCAGAGCCCTAGGTGCAGCTGGACCCCGGGCCAGCACCCCCCCACTCCTGCACCACTCAGAGAGAGCCCATGGGGTCTCCCCAGGAGACCGTCCTCACCTGTAATCCGCCCTTGGGCTTACAGGGGTCGACGGGGATCACTTCCTTCCACGGACCTGGGCGGGGTTGCTGCGCTGGGTGGGCAGCATCTCCGAGGGAGGGCTGGGATCCCAAGGTACCCTACCCTTCCCTGCCCCCCAAGGATGGAGCTTCTGAAACTGCTGCTGACGTGCTTCTCCGAGGCCATGTATCTGCCCCCAGCTCCGGAAAGTGGCAGCACCAACCCATGGGTTCAGTTCTTTTGTTCCACGGAGAACAGGTGAGGGCCCCTGGCCTTTTCGGCTCTTTCTTATTCCAGTCAACCCAGAGCTGAGCCCGCTCGCCGCCCGGGTCTTGTTTGAGGGGAGGTGCTGCCCCCTGGTGGTGAAGAACTGTATCGTACCAGCCACACCTTAAACCAGCCCTGTCAGTCTCTCCTTGGAGTCCCAAACAGGACAGAATCTGGGGGCCCCTCAGTGATCCGTGCCTGGGTCCTCCATCAAGAGCCGCCTGCCCAGTAAAATAGTTTGCAAACCACGAGTGCAATCTGAACATTTTAAAACGTTAAAAAGTAACATTGGGCTGGGCGCGGTGGCTCACACCTGTAATCCCAGCACTTTGGGAGGCTGAGGTGCACGGATCACCTGAGGTTGGGAGTTTGAGACCAGCCTGGCCAACATAGTGAAACCCCGTCTCTACTAAAATTACGAAAATCAGCGGGGCGTGGTGGTAACCCCAGCCACGTGGGAGACTGAGGCACGAGAATCACTTGAACCCGGGAGGTTGCAGTGAGCTGAGATCGCACCACTGCACTCCAGCCTGGGCGACAAGAGGGAAATTCCATCTCAAAAAAAAAATTAAAATTAAGTAATAATACATGTCATATAACCCGATATGCCTCAAACTTTAGCATTTAACATGCAATCAGTATCTTAACATTATTGAGCTGTTTTATATCCCCTTTTCATAGCAGGCTTTGAAAATCCCGTGTGTATTTTGCACTTACAGCAGGTCTTGGTTCTGATCGGCCACATTCCAAGGGCTCGACAGCTTCATGTGGCTTGAGGCTGCCACATGGGACCATGCAGTTCAGAGAGTGGGTCGGGGTGTGTGTGTGACAAATACCCCGAAGGGCAGGAAGGCCCCGCCCACACAGGGCACTCATGGACTGTGGGGCACACATGAACACAGGGGGGTGTCACCCATGCCATGTGGCAGGGTTATTTGAGCAGGTAGCTCCCCCCAGGAGCTGTGTTGGCTGCACGGGGTCAGTGCCCAGCAGGTGGCGGTCGACCTCTGCCTTCCAGACTCTGGTCCCTACACGACACGCCTCATTCTTCAGGTTTCCTAGCCTTCTGCTCAACCTTGACCCTACTCCAGAAGAGAAGGGAGCCAGACGACCCCGCCACCGGCCACTCTGGCCAGAGTTTTCTTTCTCACCAGCCTTATCAGGCAAACTGCGACCCTTTGTCCCTCACTTAACCTCTCTGGGTCTCAGCTTCCTCACCTGTAAGATGAGCAGCTTGAACCGTGACATCTCTTGAGTCTGAGTCGGGTCATTCTGCGGCCTGGGAGCTGGTTGGCTGAGCCTGGGCTCTGCTCCCTGAGGGGAAGCTGTCTTCTCCATGGGCCTCCAGTCTCATTTCTGAGGCCCTGATGGAGGGTATCTGCCCCTTAAGACCCTAATGTGTCTTAATCATGGTTCTGTGCCTCCCCCACCCACTCTTCCCAAGCCACTCCCTGGCCTGGTGCTAAAATACTTGTTGAATGAGGCTGACCCTCCCATGTGGCCAGAGGGGTGTGGCCAGGGGGCTGGGCCCGGAGGAGCCTCTGCAGCCTCGCCCCTCTCCCGCTGCAGACATGCCCTCCCCCTCTTCACCTCTCTCCTCAACACCGTGTGTGCCTATGACCCTGTGGGCTACGGGATCCCCTACAATCACCTGCTCTTCTCTGACTACCGGGAACCCCTGGTGGAGGAGGCTGCCCAGGTGCTCATTGTCACCTTGGACCACGACAGCGCCAGCAGTGCCAGCCCCACTGTGGACGGCACCACCACGGGCACCGCTATGGATGATGCCGACGTAAGCATGGGAGTGTGGAGGCGCCAGCTGGTCCTGCCGGGGCAAGGGTTGCGGGAAGACGCTGGCTCACCAGGGCCTTCTCCTCTTGGCAGCCTCCAGGCCCCGAGAATCTGTTTGTGAACTACCTGTCCCGAATCCACCGTGAGGAGGCAAGTCCAGTCCCCACGGTGGCTTTGCAGGGGGTGGGGGAGGCAAGTGAGACAGGGATATGGGGGATCCTGACCCCTCCATGAAGGAACCATGCTCTCTGTGGATTGGGGCCACCCCAAGTGAAATAGTGGCAGGACTGTGAGAGTTTCAAGGTGCAGGAAGGGCTGATGGCCTCACCTGGGTAGAGGCAACTGGGAAGGCTTCTAGGAGGAGGTGGCTGATGTCATTTCAAAGGTGGTGGGGAGAGAGGGAAATGACAGTGGACAAGGACTTCAGGCCAGGCATTCCCAGTTCATGTGTCTTGTGACCTTGGTAGCAAGGTGCTTGAACTCCCAGAGTTCTAACTTCTGTAGCTAAAAAAAAGGCCCCTCGCTGCCTTCTTACCCTGTGAGCATAAAGTACAGCACAGCGCAGCTGGTGGCAATCTCAGTAAAGTGCAGCTCTTCAGAACAGTGGAATGCTCCTCAGTGTGATGGGGGCAGGGAGTATTTTGGGGAGGGGTAGAAGGATGGAACCTGTCAACCATGAGTCAAGGTGAGCTGGGATGAGGTTCAGGGTGTGTGTATGTCGGGGTGGGGGAGGGTCACTGGGAGCAGCAGCCTTGCTCCAGGGGTAGACGGGGAGTCTGCAGTCTGGTGGAGGGGCCAGGGCTGTCCACACCTCTGAGGGACTCGGCTTCCTGAAGCGTCACCCTAGGACAGCTAGGGATGATAGCATCTGGCTCTGGGGGAAGGAGGGGGCATTTGTGTAGGGCCTGGGCTGGGAAGCTGGAGCTTCAGGGATCTGGGCTAGAGGCCCCCTGCTCTACCCTCGCCCCAGGACTTCCAGTTCATCCTCAAGGGCATAGCCCGGCTGCTGTCCAACCCCCTGCTCCAGACCTACCTGCCCAACTCCACCAAGAAGATCCAGTTCCACCAGGAGCTGCTAGTTCTCTTCTGGAAGCTCTGTGACTTCAACAAGGTGGGCCAGTCTTGAGGGCCCTGCAGGGAGATGGGGAGCCGCGGCCCCAATAACTGGGGGGCCGGGACAGCATCAGACTGAGGGGGTTGGGGCAGAGCTGCTCCTCCCTCCAACTCTGCCTACTTCATACCTCCCCGCACCCCTAGAAATTCCTCTTCTTCGTGTTGAAGAGCAGTGACGTCCTAGATATCCTTGTCCCCATCCTCTTCTTCCTCAACGACGCCCGGGCCGATCAGTGTAAGACCAGGGTGGGGTGGGATGCTGGGGGGTTTCCTGGCGGCCAGATGGAGGGCCGACCATCTGCCCTGCTTCCCAGGAGCTTGGGTGGGGCGCTCTGGCCTCCCAGGAGGGAGGCCCCAAAACATCCCTGCCTGGGCCCCTCCCTCCTCCTCCCACTCAAGAGACCTGTCCCCTGCCACCTGCCACAGCTCGGGTGGGCCTGATGCACATTGGCGTCTTCATCCTGCTGCTTCTGAGCGGGGAGCGGAACTTCGGGGTGCGGCTGAACAAGCCCTACTCGGTGCGCGTGCCCATGGACATCCCTGTCTTCACGGGGACCCACGCCGACCTGCTCATTGTGGTGAGGGGGCTCGTGCGGCTGGGCCGGGAGGTGCAGGGGCGGCGTCCTCTTGGTTGAGTCTGGAGGCAGCAGGGACCCCACAGTGCCCCTGTCCCTCCTGGCACAGGTGTTCCACAAGATCATCACCAGCGGGCACCAGCGGCTGCAGCCCCTCTTCGACTGCCTGCTCACCATTGTGGTCAACGGTAGGGGCCCGGAGCCCATCCTCCCCGCGCTCACCACCAGGTGGTGCTAGGCCACAGGCCAACCTGCCACCCGCTCCTGGGTTCAAGCCCGTCCAGCCCACAGAAAGAATGCAAACTTGTGTACTGTTCATAGTAACCAAGTTAAAAAAAAAAAAGGGTGATAACAATTTTATAATATGTTTTATCTAATCCACTATATCCCAAATACCATCATCTCAACATGTAGCCAATATAAAAATTACTAATGAGATATTGAATATTCCCTCTCACTCTCACTCTGTTGCCCAGGTTGGAGTGCAGTGGTGCCATCTCAGCTCACCGCAACCTCTGCCTCCTGGGTTCAAGCGATTCTCCTGCCTCGGCCTCCTGAGTGGCTGGGATTACAGGCATGCACCAGCACACCAGGCTGATTTTTGTATCTTTAGTAGAGACAGAGTTTTGCCATGTTGGCCAGGCTGGTCTCAAACTCCTTAGATTTTCTTTTTCTTTCTTTCTTTTTGAAATGAAGTCTTGCTCTGTTGCCTAGGCTGGGGTGCAATGGACAATGTCTGCTCACTGCAACTTCCGCCTCCCAGGCTCAAGCAATTCTCCTGCTTCAGCCTCCCCAGTAGCTGGGATTACAGATGCCCACCACCATGCCCAGCTAATTTGAACTCGTGACCTCAGATGATCTGTCCACCTCGGCCTCCCAAAGTGCTGGGATTACAGGTGTGAGCCACTGTGTCTGTTTTTTTTTTTCCATTTATATTTAATGTTAATATTATGTTTTTTTTTAAATTTTAACAATTTCTTTGACATCTGAAGGAGTTTAGTCCTGTTTATAGGAGCCATTGGCACTCTGATAACATTTTTATTTTATTTATTTATCTTATTTTTTATTTTTGAGACAGAGTCTTACTCTGTTGCCCAGGCTGTAGTGCAGTGGCAAAATCGTCATTCAGCTCAAGCTCCGCCTCCTGGGTTCAAGCGATTCTCATGCTTCAGCCTCCTAAGTAGGTGGGATCACAGGCATGTGCCACCACACGTGGCTAATTTTTTCTTTTGTATTTTTACTTGAGACAGGGTTTTGCTATGTTGGCCAGGCTGGTCTTGAACCCCTGGCTTCAAGCAATCTGCCTGCCTTGGCCTCCCAAAACGCTGGGGTTACAGGTATGAGCCACCACACCCAGCCATATTTCATTTTATTTCTAATTATAGTGACAGGGTCTCACTATGTTTCCCAGGCTGGTCTCGAACTCCTGAGCTCAAATGATCCTCCTGCCTCTGCCTTCCAAAGTACTGGGATTACATAGGTGTGAGCCACTGTGCCTGGCCTCTTCTGTGTTTCATACATGTAGCACACATGTTAGGACTAGCTTCGTGCTTCAAGCACAAAGTGGCCACATGTGGCTGGTATCCACCGTCTTAAGCAGTACAGGTTTGGACAATTGGTGTCACACAGTATGGGGATGTAGCAACCCCACCCTTTCTGCCTTTGCCCTCCCCCTCCAGACCCCCCAGAAGGACTGCACACAGCTGCTGGGGAGAGGAAACGGGAGGGGCCAGGCTCCCTGGGGTTCAGGACCCAGCAAGGCAGGCGGCCATGGGCTAGGGCAAAATGCCTTCAATGTGAACATGTTTTGGAGAGGATGGTTGTGGCTAGGGGTGGCTGGCCTGTCTGTGGTCTGGTTTAGAGTGCAGGGTGGATAGTGTGTGGTGGTAGAGGCCTCTAGCTGGGGGTTGTAAGCTCTGGGTCCAGAACTGTCCCTTCCCCTCCTGGTTCACTCTCTGGCTCCATTTCACAAATCTTTATTTTATTTATTTATTTATTTATTTATTTTTGAGATGGAGTCTCGCTCTGTTGCCCAGGCTGGAGTGCAATGGCATGATCTCAGCTCACTGCAACCTCTACCTCCTGGGTTCAAGTGATTCTCCTGTCTCAGCCTCCTAAGTAGCTGGAATTACAGGGGCCTACCCCCATGCCTGGCTAATTTTTTTTTTTTTTTTTTCTGTATTTTTAGTAGAGATAGGGTTTCACCATGTTGGTCAGGCTAGTCTCAAACTCCTGACCTGTGATCTGCCCACCTCGGCCTCCCACTGCTCCCGGCCCCATCTCACAAATCTTAACTGAGCCAATTCCAAGGATGCATTTGTGAACACAACAACCCTGGTCCCTGGCATGTGGAGCCCTCAGCCTAGTGAGGGAAAATGACACAAGACAAGGAAGTGTGCAGGTCAGCAGGGAACTTCAGGCTGGGTGTGCCCCAGAATACATCTCTAGTGACATGGCAGCTTGACGTTCTAGAAAGATTTAAAGTCCTGAGTTTGTATCCCTGCCCAATCATTTCATTACTGGGGAACTCGGGCCAAGTTTATAACCTTCTTGGAGCCTCAGTTTCCCTATCCATAAAATGGGGATGATCTTGTCTGTGCCCTGCCTCCCTCTTGGCGTGGGAATGGCGGCTGGCACAGGTGGGATGCATATGGCTTTGTAAGCAGGACAGCTGTCTTCCTGGTCGAGGGGTGAGGGTGGGGGTCTCACTGCCTCCCAGGACTCTACATGGAGTATGGCCAGTGTAGACTCGGCCTCTCGGGCCTTGGTCTTCCTGGTTCTGCAGGGAGAAGGAAGGGATTGGGAACAGGAGGATGTTGTGTCACTCAGACCCAGGATGTGCAGGGATGGCTGGGGGTGCCCAGGAGTGAGCTGGCTCCTCCCCTACAGTGTCCCCCTACCTCAAGAGCCTGTCCATGGTGACTGCCAACAAGTTGCTGCACCTGCTGGAGGCCTTCTCCACCACCTGGTTCCTCTTCTCTGCTGCCCAGAACCACCACCTGGTCTTCTTCCTCCTGGAGGTCTTCAACAACATCATCCAGTACCAGTTTGATGGTGAGGCACCAGCCTGAGGCCCTGGCCATCAGGGTGGCCAGTGGACCTCCTTCCTACCTAAGGAGGGCACAGTCCAGGAGATGGCCTTCTGCCCTGGTTCTTTCATTCAGGGTACATTTATTGGGCACCGGCAGTGTACCTGGGTGCGGGGAATACAGTGGGGAACAAAGCTTTGCTTCTTGCCCTGTGGAGCTCACAGCTGGGGATGCAGGCAGGCAGGGAGCCTTCAAACAGATGATTACCTTCTAACAGGGCATCTGACTTTTGTGTGTGTGTGAGGGTGTCTCACTCTGTCGCCCAGGCTGGAGTGCAGTGTCGCGATCTTGGCTCACTGCAACCTCCAACCCCCCGGGTTCAAGCGATTCTCCTGCCTCAGTCCCCCAAGTAGCTGGGATTACAGATGCCCCCCACCACACCTGGCTACCTTTTTGCATTTGTAGTAGAGATAAGCAATCTGCCTGCCTCAGCCTCCCAAAGCGTTGGGGTTATGGGCATGAGCTGCTGGGCTGGACCTTTCCCTTTGTGGGATTTCACCAAGTTGGCCAGTCAGGGTCTCAAACTTGTGACCTCAAAAGATCCACCCGCCTTGGCCTCCCAAAATGCTGGGATTATAGGCATGAGCCGCCATGTCCGGCCTGAAATGGGATAAAAGGGAAGTGCAGAGTAGTGAGACCCTGATGGGTGTCTCAGCAGCTATCTGCCGAGTGTCACAGACACCTGGCTGCCGGCTGTCACTTCAAGCCTTGCCACTTGGCCCTGTGACTGGGGCATGTCATCTGACCTCTCTGAGCCTCTGTTCCCTCATATGTAAGGTGCTTGTAACAATGGTTCTAAGAGTCCCTGTCTCAGAGAGTGTTGGGGAGACTGAACAAAATAACCCCGAGAAGGCACTTAGCACAGCGCCTGGCAACTGAAAAACAATCCATTTTTATTATTGCTATTTCCAAAGTCAGTCAAATTTGCCGTGATCTCTGAGGGAGAACTAGGGGCAAGGTGGGGGAGGAGACAGCATGTGCAAAGGCCCTGCTGGTGGGATGTGGAGCTGAAAGTGGAGGAGTATGGCAGGAGGCAGGACCAGAGCCAGGAGAGGTCAGCGGCGGGGATGGATGGCAGAGACTCCTCCTGGCACCTTGCTTGGGGAGAGAGTCAGAATATTTAATGGCTGGCCTGGTGTGGACACTGCCGTCCTGGGGCCTGCCCTCTTTGCCAGGTGTTAGCCCTTTAGTGCTGGGTTGTGGGGGCGTCTTGGGCACTGGGGAGGGGTGTTGTGGGGTGCTCAGGCCTGACATCCTGGGATAGCCATAGTGGGCACACATAGCCAGTGCCAGCCTTGGCCCAGCACCCTCTCTTGGGCTCCCTGTACCATCCCCAACCCCTTTGGCAGACACCTTTCTGTCCTCCAAACTCCCCCTTCGAGGAAGCCCACCCCGATTGGATGGGGGATTGGGAGGGGCCTCCCTGAGGCGAGACATGCTCCCTGCCCACAGGCAACTCCAACCTGGTCTATGCCATCATCCGAAAGCGCAGCGTCTTCCACCAGCTGGCCAACCTGCCCACGGACCTGCCCACCATCCACAAGGCCCTGCAGCGGCGCCGTCGGACACCTGAGCCCCTGTCCCGTACCGGCTCACAGGAGGGCACCTCCATGGAGGGCTCCCGCCCTGCCGCCCCTGCAGAGCCTGGCACTCTCAAGACCAGCCTGGTGGCCACTCCAGGTCTGGTGTGAGTGGGTGGAAGAAGAGCATGGATACCGGTGTGGCTGGGGGAGAGACATGAGGATGTGACCTCAGGGTGTCACCCCCATCTCTGGCAAAGAGTGTGTCTTGCATTGGAAAGCTGAGGGGATGGGGCTGGGCAACAGGGATGGGGAGGGTACTGGGTGGGCTTAGCATGGGTAGCTTGGTGTTGGGGGCAGAGCCTCAGGGCAAGTGTAGACTGTGGAGAGGTGGGCACAGGAGAGGACGTTGCAGTGATCAGATACTGCCTCTAGAACCAGCAGAAATTCCAGAGGGAAGCAGGGGTAAAATACAAACACAAATAAAAAATAAAGTGGGTGGAAGAAGGGCTAGAAGGGGGTTTTCACTCCCACCTGTGCCCTGCCCAGGCATTGACAAGCTGACTGAGAAGTCCCAGGTGTCAGAGGATGGCACCTTGAGGTCCCTGGAGCCTGAGCCCCAGCAGAGCTCGGAGGACGGCAGCCCGGCCAAGGGGGTGGGTGATGGGGACTCCTGGAGCTGGGCGAGGCTGCCCTTCCCTTCCTCCCTGGCTTCTGCAGTGGGGGCTGGGCTGGGGCGCTCTGGGGTCACCTGCAGGAGAGGGGCAAGCACCCAGTGCCCAGGGCATCAGGGTCAGTGCTGCTGACTCCCTTGGGGGTAGGGACCTTTCATAGACCCCTCCCTTGTTTACTGGTCCTGGCAAAGCCCTTGGCCTTCAGACTTCTCATCCCTCGGCCTTATCTGAGCTGGCCTTTACCCAGCCTGCCCTGTCAGCCGCTGGCCCTAAACCTGTCACTAGGTTGGGCTGGGCCTGGGGCCCGGGGCAAAGGCTGCTGGGCTGGGCCTTCTCCTTTGTGGGATTTCCAGCTGCCAGTAGAGAGAACTCATTGCCCCCCACCCCTCACCCACCCCCTCCATACCTCACCCCTGTTTCTTTCTGGGGGCCAGGAGTCCAGCCAGGCATGGAGGGAGCAGCGGCGACTGTCCAGCTCATCAGCCAGTGGGCAGTGGAGCCCAACGCCGGAATGGGTGAGGGACCCCATGCCCGGCGAGCGGGGTCTGGGGTGTGGGCAGATGGCACTGGGGTGGGAGCTGGCTTGGGGCTCCCTGGCCCAGGGAAGCTCAGTGAAGACTCATTGAAGATGGCTATGTGTCCGAATCAAAGGACCCTGGCATAGGAGCCTGCCTCCGGGTCAGTCCTTCCACTGGGTGACATCCCACATGTTTGGCCTCTCTCTGGCTCAGCTGCTTCCTCTGTCTACATGATTGCCAGAGTCCCTAGCAGGATTAAGCTCCGGTGCCCACAGTGTTCTCTTCCTTAATAAATCACTCTTTCCCACTTCCTTCCCTGAATCTCATCCCCACCTGCTGTGTCTCCTGAGATCACGCTGACTGCACTGGAACGGGGATAATTGCCGTCCCTGCCTGACCATGATATTGTGAGGGCTAAAGGCGACAGTCTCCCGAGAGGCACGTGGCACAGCCTAATGCAGGGCCATGGTGCTTGCCATTAATAACAATTAACTGTTCCCGGATCCTGCTTGGTACATTTACTGAGCACCGGCAGTGTACCTGGGTGCAGGGAATACAGTGGGGAACAAAGCTTTGCTTCTTGCCCTGTGGAGCTCAGAGCTGGGGATGGGGGCAGGCAGGGAGGATTGCCCTCTTACAGGGCATCTGACATTTTTTGTGTGTGTGAGGCTCTGTTGCCCAGGCTGGAGTGCAGTGGCATGATCTCAGCTCACTGCACCCTCCATCTTCTGGGCTCAAGCAATTCTCCCACCTCAGCCCCCGAGTAGCTGGGACTACAGGCATGCACCACCACACCTGGCTGCTTGGTGCCAGGCCTGTGCTGCGGGGAGCAGGGGCACTTTCTGCCTTGGGGAGCCCGTGGTGCTGGGTCAGGGTCAGGCTTGCCTTGCAGCCTCCGGGGGCTGCTTTCCCAGCCCCAGGAACCGGTCCGTCCCCAGGTCCTGTCCTGGAAGTCGAAGCTGCCACTGCAGACCATCATGAGGCTTCTGCAGGTGCTGGTTCCGCAGGTGGAGAAGATCTGCATTGACAAGTGAGTTGGGTGCCAGCAGGCCAGAGCGCGGGCAGGTGGGCTTTGGGCGGGGCAAACCTAGGCTCAGGTGAGCGTGTGATGGAAAGCACGGGTCTTGGGGTTCCAGGGTGATCCCTCTGCTCACCTAGACCGTGTGAGTGTGCTGGAGACACCCTCTCTCGATAGGGGCCTGACGGATGAGTCTGAGATCCTACGGTTCCTGCAACATGGCACTCTGGTGGGGCTGCTACCCGTGCCCCACCCCATCCTCATCCGCAAGTACCAGGCCAACTCGGGCACTGCCATGTGGTTCCGAACCTACATGTGGGGCGTCATCTATCTGAGGTGGGCCCCGGGGGGTGGGGTGGTGTCCACCTGAGAGCCTGTCCAGCAGGTCTCAGCAGGGACCTCTGCTCCGGGCCCCACCACCTGTGGTGGACTTCACGTTGAGACAGTCGACTAAGGCTGCCTTGCCTGCTTGAGGGTGGGCACCGGGATAGAAAGGGCTGGCTTGGCCATTCCTGCCGCCCAGCTCCTCCCGGTGCCTTGTCTGCAAGATGTCCCGGCACCCAGGTAACCCCCCATTTCCTCCACAGGAATGTGGACCCCCCTGTCTGGTATGACACCGACGTGAAGCTGTTTGAGATACAGCGGGTGTGAGGATGGAGTCGGCGAGGCACTCAGTCTAGGGGAGGGTGGGGCCCTGGTCCCTAAGGCTTCCCCCACCCACCATTCTGAGCTTTAAATGACCACGATCAGGGCCTGGGACAGGCAGAGTGGCCGAGTCCTGAGTGTCAGGCCCCAGAGACTCCTGTGACCAGGACAATGTGGACCAGCTCTGATCCCCTCAGCCCTCAGGACCAGCTCTGATCCCCTCAGCTGGACTCACAGGAGCCCCATCTCTGGGGCTATGCCCCCGCCAGAGACCACGCTCCCAACACTTGGACTCCTTCCTCTTTTTTTTTTTTTTTTTTTTTTTTGAGACGGAGTTTTGCTCATTACCCAGGCTGGAGTGCAATGGCGCAATCTCAGCTCACCGCAACCTCCGCCTCCTGGGATCAGGCAATGCTCCTGCCTCAGCCTCCCGAGTAGCTGGAATTACAGGCACGAGCCACCATGCCCAGCTAAGTTTTTGTATTTTTAGTAGAGACGGGGTTTCACCATGTTGGTCAGGCTGGTCTTGAACTCCCGACCTCAGGTGATCTGCCCGCCTTGGCCTCCAAAGTGCTTGGATTACAGGCGTGAGCCACCACACCTGGCCCGGACTCCCTCTTCAAGAACTGGCTCAGCGCTGTCCCTCAGTGCGCTCCCACCTAGTGTGCTCCCATTCCTATGCTGCCCAGCCCCAGAGGCAGAAGCCACTGGGTCACTGTGCCCTAGGGGTTTGACCAACGAACCATGGGCTGTCCCTTGAGGGGCCTGGGCAGGGTGAGGGGTGCTTGAGCCGGCTGTTCCAGGCTCCAGGGGAAAGAGATGTGGCCAGGCTGCTCCTCAAGGAGGCTTGGAGCTGGCTGACCGCAAAAGCCAGGCTGGGGCACCTCCAGTACCCTTGGCGTGTGGTGTTGGGTGGTGAGGGGCTTCTGCTGTATTCTCCTGGATCTCTCTTACCCAGTAATAGGGGGCAGGGAAGAGAACTGGGGGCAGCCGTTTAGTCCTCCCTGCCCTGCCCACTGTGGATGGGGCGATGCCACTCCTCATCCTGCACCCTGGCTCAGACCTCTGGGTCCTGCCCCCCAACCCCTGTGTCAGAACAATCTTTGCTCTGTACAATCGGCCTCTTTACAATAAAACCTCCCACTCCACACTCTGACTCTGTGGTTGAGGCGCGGGGCCAGGCATGGCTCTTGTCTTCAGGGGAGCTGGGGACTCTGCACCCCAGGGGGCCCCCAGTGCACGACTGGGAACCAGCATTTTTCATTTTCTTGGGTGAGAAAGCAGGATTAGACCCTGTCACCTAGGGTTTGGGCCCCTGGGCTGTTGCCACCCAGAGAAAGAGCCCACTGGAAAGGCCACTGAGACAGCGCTGGGAGGGCCTGTGGTTGCCAGTGCTCCACTTCGAGGGGGGTTGAGGAGGAAGGCAGAGCCTCGCCTGCAGGGCCAGGGCTGCCCTCTCTGGCCTCGCCCCAGGCAGAGCCCGCTGTTTGCACTGGGCTCAGGAAGATGGATGGGCTGCCACACCTGTCCTTTCCCTTCCATTCCTGCCCCGCCCAATGGCTCAGGGGATCAGCCAGCCCTGGGACTGGCAGCCAGGGGTCACAGCCTTCATGGTGAGCCAGCTGCACTGTCCCAGAGACTGGGTGTGCTGGAGAGGGGCGGGGTGGAGATACACAAGTCCCGACCTGTCTCTCTCACCTCCTCCCCTGGATCATTCCAGGGAAGAACTGGGTTAAACCCCTCCTGGCCCAGGAGCAGGACTGTCCCAGCCCCACAGCCCTACTCCAAAGGACCATTCCTTTCAACCATGACCAGAGGAACAGTTCTGTCCCTGTGAACAAATGCCACGAGCGTGAATGCAATCGATCGAACAAATAGGATTTATGCAGCAGGAGAGAGCTGTTGAACCCTGCCTGGCAGCTAATTAATGAGCTCATTAGGAGATAGGCTGTGTGGGGAAGGGAGCTGGCCTCCCAGCTTGGAGCTCGGAGCTCTGAGGATGTCCAGAGCCACACCTGGACCAGATGCTCTTCTCGCAGCAGGAGACAGACTGTGAGGCCTGGCTGGAGAGGGGCGCCGCTTGCCAAGCTCCCCAAACTCTGTCTTCTGGGTCTGACCTTCCCAGAGAGTAGCCGTGAGGGGGCCCCCACCAGCCTCCTGGGGTGCACACTTGGCTCGATGATTGTGGTGGGAAGGCAGGGGGCAGGCATGTGTCCAGGCCTGGGGATGGGTATCAGAAAGTGCCCAGGCCCCTGCCCTTGGACTCTGGCTATAGGCAGTGCCCTCCCCTTCAGTGAGGCTCTGGGGAATGGGAGGCCTTGGGAGCCTCCGGCTGGTCTCGGCACCTCTCAGAATGAGGCATCTGCTCAGAGACTCTGGGCTACCATCCTCCCTGCTTGGCACTTCAGGGTTCTGCAGGGGGCAGGCAGCCTCAGGCCCCCAGGTAGACCTCCACGAGGCCTCCCACAGAGTGCATTCGGTAGAAGACCCCCAGAGGCAGGCCGAAGTTGACGATGGCAAACCATATCTGGTAGCCGTAGAAATCCTTTTCTAGCCCGTTCTCAAACTCCGGGTGTATGCCAAATGCCGGCATCATCCACAGCTGGGAGAGGGGATAGTGCTGTTAGGGAAGGGCTCTCCTGTGCCCCAGGGCACTCAGATCAGGGGAGGCAGCCCTCAAACCTGCAGCCCCTCCAGTGCCAGCCCCATCTCCCACTCAATCTTCCTCTAACCCTTAGGCTTTCAGTGCAAGCTCTTCTGTCCCCCAGATCTTTCTTGCCCTACTGCAGCAGGCCTTAGCCATCCCCAGCCATCTCCCTGAGCTTGCCTGGGGCCAGCCTGAACTTCAGATGGGTCAGGAGATCCCAGGCTCTGCCACGTGTGAGGAGCAGCAGGAATTCTCAGCGTGCCACCTGCTCTGTCAAGCTAGGCACCCCCACCCTGTGCCCTGAGCTCGGGCTTCACTCCTCTGTTAGCTACTTTTTATTTTTATTATTTATTTATTTATTTTTTAAGATAATGTCTCACTCTGTCACTCAGGCTGGAGTGAAGTGGCAGGATCAGAGCTCACTACAGCCTCAACCTCCTGGGCTCAAGTGATCCTCTCACCTCAGTCTCCCAAGTAGCTGGGACTATAGGCATGTGCCATCATGCCCAGCTAATTAAAAAAATTTTTTTTCTTTTGAGATGAAGTCTCACTCTGTTGCCCAGGCTGGAGTGCAGTGGCATGATCTCAGCTCACTGAAACCTCCGCCTCCCGGGTTCAAGCCATTCTCCTGCCTTAGCCTCCTGAGTAGCTGGGACTACAGGCGCGTGCCACCATGTCTGGCTAATTTTTTGTGTTTTTAGTAGTGACAGGGGTTCACTGTGTTAGCCAGGCTGGTCTTGATCTCCTGACCTTGTGATCTTCCTGCCTCGGACTCCCAAAATGCTGGGATTACAGGCATGAACCACTGCACCCAGATTAATTTTTAAATTTTTCATAGAGGGTCTCCCTGTGCTGCCCAGGTTGGTCTTAAACTCTTGGGGTCAACTGATCCTCCTGCCTCGGTCTCCCAAAGTGCTGGGATTACAGGTGTGAGCCACTGTGCTCCATCATTTCTGCTAGTTTTGACCCCTGCCCCCTCCTACCTTCCTGTCCAAATTCTACCCATTCCTCAAGGAATGGCTATGCAGGCTCACAGTTCCTTTACTGAGCTCCTAATGCACTTCAGAGCCAATTTATTCTTCTTTGCCTGGACCAGGGGTTTCATATCTGGGGTATGTTTTCAGTGCATTGAGGGCTTGGGGTCAAACAACCCTGAGTTTCCCAGCCCTCCACTTACAGACTGTGGATACTTGGGCAGGTCCAATAACCTAAGCCTTACTTTCCTCCTCTGTGGAAAGGGACAGCAGTAGTCTCTGTTACATGGAGTTACTGTGGCGATTCAATGAGGTGTGGAGATATTGCAGGGAGAGGTGTACCCGGGACTTCCACCAGGAGCTGGGCAACCATTAGCAACATCTTCCACTAGGAGTGTCTTAGAAAATCAGGTACTTCCAGGCTGGGTGTGGTGGCTCGAGCCTGTAATCCCAGCACTTTGGGAGGCTGAGGCGGGTGGATCATGAGGTCGGGAGTTCAAGACCAGCCTGACCGACATGGTGAAATCCTGTCTCTACTAAAAATACAAAAAAATTAGCCAGATGTGGCGTTCACCTGTAATCCCAGCTACTCAGGAGGCTGAGGCAGGAGAGTCACTTGAACCCGGGAGGCGGAGGTTGCAGTGAGCTGAGATCATACCACTGCACTCCAGCCTGGGTGACAGAGTGAGAATCTCAAAAAAAAAAAAAAAAAAAAAAAAAGAAAGAAAATCAGGTACTTCCTGATCTCTTCCTTTAACTGAATCCAGGGATGATAAATTCAGTGGTGTCTTCCCAACGAGGCAGGAAGTTTCTGGAGGGTGGAAATCTTACATATTTGTTTGTGAAGAGCAGTTAGCCAAGTGCTTGCACATTCATTCATGCCAGGCACCCTGTAGGGAACTGGGGGGAAGCTCTTTTTTTAATTTATTTTTGAGATGGAGTCTCACTCTTGTCGCCCAGGCTGGAGTGCACTGGCACGATCTCGGCTCACTGCAACCGCCGCCTCTGGGGTTCAAGCAATTCTCCTGCCTCAGCCCTGGGGGGACACTCTTAAGCATCATCAAGATAGTTGGAAAGGGTTATGTGTCCTTGATCCATCCCTTCGTGAGTGAGGCTTTCTGGGTCTGCCTGGCCACCTCAATCCCAGAGACATCTTGGCTCAGCCACTTACTGTGATATTGCAGATGATGAGGAAGAGTGAGATCTCCTTGAGTGCCCGCCGCTTCCAGTTGAGGTGGCTGTAGGAGTGAATGTAGGCCAGTGATGCCCGCCGCAGGCCCTGGCCCAGCTCCAGCAGGGAGCCTCTTCGGGGAGGCTCAGCCTCCTGCTTCCCTGCCAGGCCCTCAGGAACTGCCTCCCAGAGTGGGCGCCGGTGCAGACCCTCGATGATGAAGAGGTTCTGGGCAATGTGCTGCAGGATGAGCAGCAGTGAGTAGGCCAGGATGAGGCGGTTGAGCAGCTCATGCGGGCGCGTGGCCACAATGGCCACGATGGAGAAGTAGGCGATGCCCATCTGGCCCAGTGCAGCGCCCATCAGCAGCACCACATCCAGGCTACGGGTGGGGTTCTTGACTGTGTCCAGCTCTCGTTCCTCCAGCCCATGTATGGCTGTGCCCGCCAGGCACGCTAGGCTCATGGTGGGCAGCACAGCCACATAGAAGGCATAGTAGAGGATGAAATACTGGAAAGCAATGACAGGGCCGCTGGCCTGGATCTGGAAGAGCACGAAGACACACATGCCTGCCAACAGCACCAGCAGGCCCAGCAGTGGCCCAAAGATGGCCCCGTGCAGGTGGAAGGGCGCGATGCCAGGGTGGGCACCCATGTGGTGTGCCACATGGCGGCCCACATTCTTCCACATGACAAACAGCATGGCACAGCAGATGAGGCAGTACTCAGTGCTGAAGGGGTAGAGCATCAGGTAGCCCTTCCGGAAAACTTCACACACGGTGGCATTGAGGCACAGACAGGTGTTGGTCTCATTGCCTGGGGAGAGGGGGCAGGGTGGGAGGGGTTGACATTCAGGCAGGCTCTGAGGAAACTGGCTACACAGATCCCTCCCATTCCCTGAAATACACCAGAGCCAAAAGAGACCAAGCCACTCATTTTACAGATGTGGAAACTGAGGCCTAGGCACACAACTCAGAAATCCCACAGAATGGTCTTTTTTTTTTTGAGGCGGAATCACAGTCTGTCACCAGGCTGGAGTGCAGTGGTGCTATCTCAGCTCACTGTAGCCTCTGCCTCTCAGGTTCAAGCGATTCTCCTGCCTCAACCTCCTGAGTAGCTGGGATTACAGGCGTGCATCACCATACCTGGCTACTTTTGTATTTTTAGTTGAGATGGGATTTCTCCATGTTGATCAGGCTGGTCTTGAACTCCTGACCTCAGGTGATCTGCCTGCCTTGGCCTCCCAAAGTTCTGGGATTATAGGCATAAGGCACCATGCCCAGCCAGAATTGTCATTCTTTTTCAAAGGAATTGAAGACTTCAGATGCCAGCTTATATAAAGCATTCAAAACATGATGCTGCCAGGTGCAGTGTCTCATGCCTGTAATCCCAGCACTTTGGGAGACTGAGGTGAGCGGATTGCCTGAGGTCAGGAGTTTGAGACCAGCCTGGCCAACATAGTGAAATCCTGTCTCTACTAAAAACACAAAAATTAGCTGGGCGTGGTGGCAGGCGCTTGTAATCCCAGCTACTCAGGAGGCTGAGGCAGAAAAATCGCTTGGACCAGGCAGGAGGAGGTTATAGTGAGTTGAGATCATGCCATTGCACTCCAGGCTGGGTAACAAGAATGAGACTTTATCTCAAAAAAAAAAAATCATGATGCCAGCCAGGTGCAGTGGCTCATGCCTGTAATCCCAGCATTTTGAGACGCCAAGGCAGAAAGGCTTCTTGAACTCAGGAGTTCAAGATTGGCTTGGGTAACATGGCAAAACCTCGTCTCTACTAAAAATAAAAAACATTACTTGGTTGGCACATGCCTGTAGTCCTAGCTATTTGGGAGGCTGAGGTGGGAGGATCACTTGAGCCCAGGAAGTTGAGGCTGCAGTGAGCCGTGTTCCCACCACTGCATTCCAGTCTGGGTGACAGAGTGAGACTGTGTCTCAAAGAAACCAAAATCCAAAACCCCAAAACCCCCCACATGACATCTTTGGTGCCAAATGTCACCCCCACAGATTACTTCCTGGGCTCAAGGGAAAACCTGTGGTAGTGACACCTGAACCCAGCGATCGGCCTTAGCAGCGTGCACCGTCAGGTCATCAGTCATTAGTACCTTGGCGTCGGTGTTCTTCAAAGCACACAGCATCAGCTGGAAGAAGCTAGGGCCAAAAATACCTAACCTGAATCTAATCAAGGTTTTGTCCATACTTCCTATTCCAAGGAAAAGTAGGGGAGAGGGACTTGAGTTAAACACTGTCAGGAGGAAGCAACCTGACAAGTCTCAAGATCAGTAGGAAGATACCGACGTAGACTTACCAAATGCATTGCATGTCTGAACAAACCGTCTGTAAAAGGATTTCTGGGGCTAACTGGAGAAAGTGGGATATAGACTGATGCAGAGGACAGAATGAAGTTAAAGAATGTTCTTAACAATTATAATAGCATTGTGGTCATGTGGGGGAATACAACTCTTTTTAAAGAGACACACAATGGGCCCGGCATGATGGCTCATGCCTATAATCCTGGCACTTTCGGAGGCTGAGGAGGGAGAATCACTCCAGCCCAGTAGTTTGAGACCAGTCTAGGCTCAAAATTTTTTTGTGTGTGAGATTCCATCTCTGCAAAAATTTGAAAAATTAGCTGGGGGTGCTGGTATGTGCCGGTAGTCCCAGCTACTCAGGAGGCTGAGGAGGGAGGATCGCTTGAGCCCAGAAGTTGGAATCTGCAGTGAGCTATGATTGTACCACTGCACTCCAGCCTGGGTGACAGAGCAAGACCCTGTCTCAAAAAACAAAAAACAAATGTATATTGAAATATTTTGAGATAAAATGTTATGATTTCTGTAATTTAAGTACTTCAGCAAAAATAAAAAATAAATATGGGCAAATTTTAATAATTATTATGCTGAGGTGATGGGTTTATCTTATTCTTCTACTTATTTGTAATGCTTGAATTATTTAATTAATTAATTCATTTATTTTGAGACAGTTTAACTCTTATATCCCAGGCCAGAGTGCAATGGCGTATCTCGGCTCACTGCAACCTCTGCCTCCGGGTTCAAGCGATTCTCATTTCTCAGCCCCCCGCGTAGCTGGGATTACAGGTGCCCACCACCACGCCCAGCTAATTTTTGTATTTTTAGTAGAGATGGGGTTTCATCATGTTGGCCAGGCTGGTCTCGAACTCCTGACCTCAGGTGATCTGCCTGCCTCGGCCTCCCAAAGTGCTGGGATTATAGGTGTGAGCCACAGCGCCTGGCCTTGAATTATTTTATAATATCAAAATCCATGATGTCACTTGCCAAAAATTCTCTCTTGCACAGCTTTTCTGAGAAACATAAGCAGAGTATACAGAATGCTCACAGTACACAGGCGTGTCGTGACTGATGCAGTGAGTATGTGAATGTGTGAATGTGCCGGGAGGGCTGGGCTGCAGGGCGTGATGGTGATGCCACCTGGGGTGGAGTGAGGCATGTACATACAGGTGTGGCTGAACCCCACAGAACAGTGTTCCCATGTGGGGTATGGGATGTGGCCTCTAGGATAGGAGGTGAGGCGTGTGGGGCAATCTTGAGAGCTTTTCTGCCCAGAAATCTTCTGTCTCACCAGATTGATAAGGCTAGGTACCTAAAATTGTATTAGGAAGGCATTCCTTTCAGCCCTGGAGGCTGTTTAGTTGCTTGAGAGTAAAATACAAATGCCATGGGTGGGGTGCATACCTGAAGGACTTAGTGGCCAGCTTAGCCAGGATCAGTGGTTGGCTTGCTGACGGCTATCTGGACGCCTGGAGTGGGGTGCAGGGCACCAACACCTGATGGGGTGGGATGAGAATCACTAGCAAACCTCAGTTTTCTGTTGATTCGAATCTGGCATTTAGAGCTTTCCCACTTATCTGCAGACTAACCGAGCCTCACCTGTTTTGGGGAGTGTAACATGTATGTGCTGTGCGTATGTGCGTGTATGTTTGTGTGTGTGTGTGTGTGTGTGTGTGTGTGTGTGTGTGTTTGTGTTTTTCAGGGCAAGGAAGTCCTGATCTCCTTTTCATACCTGAGAACTTTTCCATAAGGACGCCAAGCTCAGCTTCGATCTCTCGGTGCATGGAGTCATTGGTAACGGCCAGAACCCACAGCAGCAGGTTTGTGGCCAGGGTCAGCATCAGGCCACACCTGGAGGAAGTGCCACACTCTTACACACCCTGGATGGCTCCCCGGGCACCAAACCCTCACCATCCGCTGTTGTTGGGGCAACTCACTCACTTCCTAGTGTCACGCTGGCACCAGGATACAGAAAAGGCAGCCCTGGGGCCACCTGGGACACATCCCAGACTAACCTAGAGCCCCAGGGCCACCCTGACCAGGGAAACGGTGGGGAGAACAGAGAGGCCGGGGGTGTGGGAGGGAGAGAAGTCTTACCTAGTGAAGTTGGTCTGGACCTGAACACAGTCTTTGCAGTGTTTCCAGAGCACCCAGGTCTGAAAGAGACAGGATCTTGAGCCCAGGGGCTGGTGGAGGTGTTGGGAACACAGTGTGAGTTCCTGGGGTGCATGCGTGTGTTTACAGTGAAAGACACAGGGAGAAAGACTGGGTCAGAATCCCGGCTCCACTGCTTCTTGCTGTGTGGTGTTGAGTCAGTGGCAAACCATCTCTGAGCCTTAGTTGCCTAAGCTCTGAAAAGGGACCAAAAAGCCCACCCTTTGGGGAAATACCTTCTTATTGAGGGAAATAAAGAAGACAGTGGGAAGGAAGCACCCAACACAAGGCCTGGAGAATCAAGTGAGTCTCCTGCCTCAGCCTCCGAGTAGTTGGGACTATAGGCATTTGCCACCATGCCCAGATAATTTTTGTATTTTTAGTAGAGATTGGGTTTCACTATGTTGGCCAGGCTGGCCTTGAACTCCTGACCTCAGATGCTCCACCCACCTTGGCCTCCCAAAGTGCTGGGATTACAGGTATGAGCCCCCACCAGCAGAGATCGTATTCTTAAGAGGTTTGTGCCTCTAGGGAGTATATATTCAGGGATATGCCTACATACACGTAGGCAGCTGGACTTCTAAGTGTCTATGTCGGTGACATGGTGTGTGTGTTGATGCAGAAACCCATGGGTATGTGTGGATGTGAACACTTGTGTGATGGGTGTAGTGTGTGTGCAAAGACCCCAGAGCATTTGGTATTTGCCTATGTGGCTGTTCCTAGGTATAGGTTGCGGGAGATGTGCGCATGGCATGGGTAGACAGGGCATGGGGACCAGAGAAGCCTGTCACCTGGATGCTGATGAAGACCATCTCAATGACAGGGAAGACAAACTCCAGCTGTGACTTGCAGTGGATGTGGCTCACGTCGTAGCCCACTCGGAAGATGTTGAGGCAGAAGGTACAGCTGCCGAAGAGCACCAGGGAGCCTAGCCGGGTGTGCGGGCAGGTGTTGGCACCTGCCCAGAACCGGCTCTCCCTCCTCATCCCTGCCTGGCCCCCCAACATCCCGAAACTCACCCCGCACCCAGAGGGGCCCTGCATGAGGGTCTTGGTAGAGCACAGCATGTGGCTGGCGAGTGGTGCTCGCCACGTAGTAGAGAAGCCAGAGCAGGGAGAGGACCTTCAGCGTGGCCAGCAGGATCCACACATCACCCAGAGTAACGGCCACCTTGTTGAAGATCATGCTGCAGATGAAGGCCCCACCCAGGAACACCACATTCAGGGCCAGGAGGCCTGAGAAGAGCTGCCCAGCCTTCTGGGCCTGCCGGTCCCGCCGTAGCAGCAGGGAGAAATGTCGCACCAGCCAGGACTTCTGCCGGGGCTGGGCAGTGGTCGTTGTCTCCTCGGCCCCCACATCCACTGGGTTCTCCTTCTCTGGGGCTGCTTCAGTCTCCTGTGCTTCTAGAGAAGGCATGGGTGGAGCCTCAGCAGGGGCTGGAGATGGAGAAAGGGTCCTGGGTTAACTGCCAGGCTGACCTGGGTTCAAGTACACCCTGCTCCTAACTGCTGTGTGACTCAGGGCCAGCTATGCAGCCTCTCTGGTTGGGACACTGGAACTAACAGCAGCTGCCCAATTGCCTTACGGGACCTGAGGAGGTTCAAACGGATCAGGAGAAACCCTCTGTGCTGCACACAAACACGGGAATTAGTCTGGCTGGTGTGAGGATTGCGTCCTCCCTCTCAACCTCACTTCTTGACTTGTGCCTGATCCTAAGGTGAGCAGACTCTGCTTAGAGCCTGGTCAGTTTCCAGGGATGTGACTTTTTGTCATCAAAAGGCAGTGGTGTCCTTCCGCCCCCTGGGAGGAATTTCACTTCTGACATCAGGGAGGACAAGTTGGTGTCCTTGCTTATCCTGATGCTGATTGGTTGGGAAATGATTGCCTAAAATGTTTTGTAGAGAAGCATCCTGAGGCTGTGTATGGGCTTGGTAGGAAAGAATGGGGGTGATCTGAAACATTACTGTATTATGGGAACATACAAGCACCTGTATGATTACTTTTAAAAGGTCTAGGCCGGGCTGGGCGTGGTGGCTCACGCCTATAATCCCAGCACTTTGGGAGGCTGAGGCGGGTGGATCACAAGGTCAAGAGATCGAGACCATCGTGGTCACCAAGGTGAAACCCCGTCTCTACTAAAAATACAAAAATTAGCTGGGCATGGTGGTGCACGCCTGCAGTCCCAGCTACTCGGGAGGCTGAGGCAGGAGAATTGCTTGAACCCAGGAGGCAGAGGTTGCGGTGAGCCAAGATCGCGCGGTTGCACTCCAGCCTGGGTAACGAGAGCAAAACTCCGTCTCAAGAAAAAAAAAAAAAGGTCTAGGCCAGCAGTCCCCAACTTTTTTGGCACCAGGGACCAGTTTCCTGGAAGAGAATTTCTCCATGGATGGAGGGTGGAGGATGGTTTCAGGATGAAACTGTTCTGCTTCAGATCATTGAGTATTAGATTCTCATAAGGAGTGGGCAACCCCTAGATCCTTCGCATGTGCAGTTCACAGGGTTCGTGCTCCTATGAGAATCTATTGGCACTGCTGATCTGACAGGAGGCAGAGCTCTGACTGTCATGCTCCCTCCCCATCGCTCACCTCCTGCTGTGCGGCCTGGTTCCTAACAGTCCATGGGCTGGTACTGGTCCTCAGCCTGGGGACTGGGGACTCCTGGTCTAGATGATACCCAGCAATTTCACAACAGGAGTTTCTTCTGGGATGAGGCTACTGGGATTAGGAATGGTAGACTTTTTAGCTTACTGTTCTAGTTTTTTTTTTTTTTTTTTAATGAGCACAATACTTATACAATTAAAAGTAATTTTAGGTTGAGCATGGTGGCTGATGCCTGTAATCTCAGCACTTTGGGAGGCTCAGGTAGGAGGATTGCTTGAGCCCAGGTGTTCAAGACCAGCCTGGCCAACATAGCAAGACACCATCTTTACATATATATATATGTGTGTGTGTGTGTGTGTTTATATATGATGGTTTATGCCTATGGTCCTAACTACTCTGGGGTGAGGCAGGAGGATGGCTTGAACCCAGGAAATCAAGGTTGCAGTGGGTTATGATTAGGCCACTGCACTCCAGCCATGTGCAGTGAGTGACAGAGCAAGACTGCTTTTAAACATAAACAAATAAATAAAATAATTTTAAAATACATTAAAGGTTTAGGGAAAAGTTTCTGGGGTTGATTCACAAAGTGTGCTGAGAGCATGGGACAGGCCCAGATCAGCACCACTGCCATGCCCTTGACTTTGAAGGAACTGATTTCCCTTTTTGTACCCCTTCCCCAATTCCCGGAAGTACTACGAGTGCCTGGTGTCACGTAGGAAACACAATCCTTACCCTCCTCTTTTCCTGAACATCTCCTGCCACTCTCTCACCTCTCCCAAGCATTCACTCAGGCCAACTATTTTGTCACCACTGGCTTAGACCAGATTTTGGGTCACCCAATGCCTGCAGCTCTGAGTCCAGCATACTCTCCCCACTGGGCACTCCTTCTTCCTGGTGGGACTGAGCTGCTGTTGAGAGTGGGGACAGTTCTGCTGCTTCTGGGTGCTCTCCTGGTGGGGAGGCTGAGCTGATTTGGAAGACTCCCTAGAGACCCCCTGTGCTGCCCAGGCTCTTCCTTGGTCCTGCCGCTGCCCTCGTGCTCTGGGCTCAGGGTTCTAGGTGCTCACCGTCCCCATTCTCTTGCTTTCTAATGGTCACAATCTCAGAGTGGCATCTCCATCTTCCCATCTCCTAGCAGAGAACTGGGTGTCCTCTTTGCTTCTCCCCTCATCCCTTGCATTCTCTTAGGTCCCAAGCTTGTTCATTCCAGCTCACAAGTTGCTCTTAGATTTTTCCTTATTGATTTTTAAAGCTAGGGTCTTGCCTTGTCTTCCAGCCTGGAGTGCAGTGGCACCATCATACCTCATTCCAACTTTGAACTCCTGGGCTCAAGTGATCCTCCTGATTCAGACTCATGAGTAGTTGGGACTACAGACAGGCGTGTGCCATCACAACTTGCTAATTTTTAAAATTTTGTTGCAGAGATGGGGTCACGCTATGTTGCCTAGGCTGGGCTTGAACTCCTGGCCTCAAGTGATACTTCTGTGTCAGGTTCTGAAAGTGCTGGGATTATGGGTGTAAGCCACTGTGCCTGGCCTGGATTTTTCTTGACCTCAACCACTACCTGGTCTGAGCTCCCTTCTTCACTCTCTTGGACTGGGCTCCCTGCCCAGAGTACCTCTCCCCTACTGAAAGTCCTGCAGAGGCAACTAACTGCCCTCAGTATAAAGTCCAGACTACGACACAGCCCGCATGGCCTCTCAAAATGAGAGGTGTATGATTAGCATGGGCCTGGACTAGGTTCTAGGTTCTTTGCCCAAGGCAGCGTCGCTGCTGCTGCTTCCTGGTCTGGCTACAGCTTGGTTCTCCGGCATCATCTTCAGAGCCTACTCTTCTCTCCTTGGGCTACACCATCTTGCTGCCTTTCCTGAAATGCCCCCAGTCTTTGTCCACACCCCATTCTTTGCCTTTAATGCCTACCCCTCTCGGCCCTTGGCTAACTCTAGCTTGTCCTTCAGGACTCGGCAGAGACTCCGCCTTGTCTCTGCAGCCCTCCCTGATCAGCACTCCCACCGCACCCCATGCTGATCACTGATCGTCCTCTGCTTCCATTAGCTGTGCTTTGCTCTGTCTCTCCCTTGAGACCCTGGGCTTCAGGAGCTTCAGACGCACCCTCTCTGCAGCACCAGAAGACCTTCACCATATCTGGCTTGAAAATGCAACCTCTCCAAGCTTCCATTCTCTCCTGCACACCCACCTGCTTCAAATTTATACCTTCTGCTCTTCTCTTCAGGGGCAGATGGAGCACTAAAACTTGAGCCTCTTTTTGAGATTATACAAATGATTTTTTCCCCTTTCCCAGTCTACTCTGTCATCCTTGCCCAAGTTCTGTCCCCTCCCTGTTCCCACCCACCTCCCCTGTCACACTCAAGGCACCTGCCTCCCACACCCACCCAGGCCCAGGTAGAGAGCTCTGCATTTCTCCCATGGTCGCCTGCCATCCCTCCTGGACACTGCTCTTCTTTCTGCCCTGCTCACCACTTGCCCATCCTCCCCACCTACCTGGAAAGCCTTCCTCTCTGCCTAAGCCTTCTGGTACTACTTTGCTGGGGCCACTCCCCTCTGTTGAGAGTAGATGTGCCCTGTTTGGTATGCTGTGGGTGTAGCTGGCTTTCATTAAGGCCCGGAACTCCTCCAGGACAAGAACCAGGCCCTGCTTAACTCAGACCCGAAACCTAGCACAGATGTGATATTCACTCAGTGTTTGCCCACTGACTCGGTAGTCTTCTACAGAAGAATTTTCAGCACCAGAGATGTGGACAGAGACCCTCCCCATTAAACTCTTTCCAGGCTGTCAGGGGAGGAGACTCCAGATGATCTTTATCTTTCCCTCCTAGTTGAACAAGGCTGGGGCTCACAGGGCTGTCTCCCTGCTCCATATCTCCCAACCCTAACTGCTTTACCTCACCTTCCCCAAAACCCTCTCCTCCAGCTCCCAAGCAGGGTAGACTAATGATCAAGAGCCAAGATTCCAGCACTTACTAGCTCTGTCATCTTAGACAACTGAGACTACTACAGAGAGCTACCTAGACTCTGTGCCTCAGTGTTGTCATCTGCAAAATGAATACACAACTATGGAATAGTAGCTGGTGCAGAGTAGATGCTCAATAAAGGCTTCCTGAACAAGGCTGGGTTCAGTGGCTCACCCCTGTAATCTCAGCACTTTGGGAGGCTGAGGTGAGCAGCTTGAGCCCAGGGGTTGGAGGCCACCCTGGGTAACATGACAAAACCCTGCCTCTACAAAAAATACCAAAAAATTAGCCAGGTGTGGTGGCATGCCCTGTAGTCACAGCTACCCGGGAGGCTGATGTGGGAGGATTGCTTCAGCCTGGGAGGTTAAGGCTGCAGTGAGCTGTGATCACACCACTGAACTCCAGCCTGAGGGACAGAGTTAGACCCTGTCTCAAAAGAAAAAAAATACTGAATGAATAAAGGAAGGGATTAGTACCAAACAGGGGCTTTGTCAGATTTACATGATTTAATACATACAAGCACAGGCAGAGAGTAATGCCTGGCACCCAGAAAGCGCAGTGTTAGCTGTCTCTGCATTTCCTTCCAGTTCGTTTCAGGTCCTGGAGAGCTGGGAGGAGTCCGGATTATTGGTGAATTTCAAGGGTGGGTTTTACTCAGACTGGAGGGGACACTGGGGGACAGTTCCAGGGTCTCTCTCTCTGGGGTCTTTGCCCTGACAGTCTCCCCCATCTCCCACGTCTTCCACCCTGGGGTCCAACCCTCCAAAGGCCGCTGGAGTGAGCCCTCAAAGGAGCGAATTTAGTCCCTGGCTGGGCAGGGGGCCGGAGTGGGCATGTAGGGGTCTCAGGCAGAGGGCTAGGGCTAGGGCGCCTGGAACTGACAAGAAGGACTCCGCCGTCCCCTGGCACGCCCCTGGGCACGACGCCAGTCCAAGGGAGGGCCGGGACACCGAACTGGTTTGTGGGTCTCGGTTAGAGGCGGTGATGAAAGCCACGAAGCCAAAGCCGTCGGGCCCAGGGACTCAGGGCCGGCTCCCAGGACGCTGCTGAGCGCGGGCGCCCTCGGGATTTCCTTCCGAGCCATTTAAGGGACTGTGGGACCGGGGGCAGCCGCTTCCTGCGTGCCCTAGACCGGGCGTCCAGACAGCCCCAACCAACCCCACACCCCAGCCCTCCGCGCCCACTTTCTGCTGCGTGGGCCCGGATGGGAGGAGCCGCGCCCTGCGGCCCTCGTGCGCCCCGGGTCCACGGAAAGTAGAGGCACAGAGCCCGGGTTGAGGGGCGGGCAAGGGGCCGGCCTCGGATCAAAGGGAGTTGACCTCTCCACAGTCACCCCGCTCTCCCGCTCATATCCCTTCAGCCCCTACTCGTGAACCCTTGGGGGCGCAATGTGTGCCAGTGTCTGGGGGGCGCTAGCTGGGAAAGCTCCGCCGGCGCTCCGGGCTTACCTGAGGCCAAGACAGGCATCGCCGCCGGCTAAGCACCGACTGCGGGCGCTGTGCGGATCGAATCGTCCTTCCCCAGGTGAGACCGATGCCCCCGACGCCCTCCCTCAGCAGGACTGCGCAGCCGCCGCTCGGACTCCTCCGCCCATCGATTTTTCTGTTGACTTTGGAAATCTCATTAATCCCTCTTTAATTACCCTGCCGGGGGCTCGGACCCAGAGGGTGCAGCCAATTGCGAGGCGGCTGGGCCAGAGGGCGGGGCCGAGGGCGGTGCAGGTGCGGGCAGGCAGGGTCTCCAGCTCGCAGCCCGGGTGGGGTGAGAGGGGTGCAGTGTACTTAGGCCTGCAGTAAAGAGCTTGTGGGGTTCAGGCCTGGCTTTCCTTTGGTGATCAAGCTGGGCATGGACACCCTCACTCCAGGCCTGGAGTCTCTTTTTCCTGTGACCTACCTAGCCCCAGGCCTGGAGGCCACCTGGCAGGACCCTGTATCTCACTTAAGTCAAATCTGAACTTGGTATGGGGAGAGTTGGAGCAGAGCCCCATTTTGACGGGGCAGGAGGCCTCCTCAGCTACACTTGCAGCCTCTACTCACCTCCTTTTGCTGACAGCGTCCAGGCACACTTTCCTCAAAATGCCCTGAACTCCAGGTGCTGCTGTTCCCATGCCCTCCCCCAAATGCCATCTGCTCTGTGGGTCCCACCCAGCCCTTCCCCTCCCCCTGACTCTGCATGGTCACCTCCACCTTTCACTCTTCTTCTAACTGTGGAGCCTCCTTCCCTTCTCTCTGCTGTCTTCCATCCTAAGCATCTCTATACCCTTTGTAGAGTAGAATCCCCAGGATTTAGGAGAAGCTCCTAGCAGACCTCCTGAGGCAAGGGGAGGTCAGGGGAGGCCCAGGTGGTGAGGATCTGAGTCTCCCAACTCCTCTTAAACTAGAACTGCCCTGTTTATATCTTTTTTTTTTTTTTTTAGACAGTCTTGCTCTGTCTCCCAGGCTAGAGTGCAGTAGCTCGATCTCACCTCACTGCAACCTTTGCCTGTTGGGTTCAAGTGATTCTCCTGCCTCAGCCTCCTGAGTAGCTGGGATTACAGGTGCTTACCAACACGTCCAGCTAAGTTTTGTATTTTTTAGTAGAGACAGGGTTTCTTCATGTTGGCTAGGCTGGTCTCGAACTCCTGACCTCAAGTGATCCGCCTGCCTTGTCCTCCTAAAGTGCTGGGATTACAGGTGTGAGCCACTGCACCCAGCCTTTATCTATTGTTATAAACTTGGATTCCTGTAATATTTTATTTGAAGGGAAAAAATGATCTGCTTGAAAACAAAGTTTGAAAATTATTGTTCCTAGCAGAAAGGCTCTGGTTATTTTGTAGCTATGTGACCTTGGGCAAGTCACTTTACCTCTCTGGGCCTCAGATTCCTTTTTTGTAAAATGCAGACATTAGACTAGGTCACTGCTTCCTAAACTTTCTTGTGTCATGGGACACATAAAATGATTAGATTGGGTGCTGCGGCTCATGCCTGTCATCCCAGCACTTTGGGAAGCCGAGGCAGGAGGATTACTTGACCCCAGGAGTTCAAGACCAGCCTGGGCAACAAAGTGAGACTCCCCATCTCCACAAAAAATACACACACCAAAAAAATTTAGCCAGGCATGGTGGCAGTAGTAGCTGTAGTTCCAGCTACTCAGAAGGCTGAGGTGGGAGGGTCTCTTGAGTCCAGGAGGTTGAGGGTGTAGTGAGCTATCCGTACTCCAGCCTGGGCAAAAAAGTGAGACCATTTCAAAAAAATAAAAAATGATTATTTGTATATGTCACCTGGAGATAAAGGGAAGAGGAAGATGGCAGTTTGGGAACTCCGGTTACCTACTCTGTAGTTATTCTGTCACTTGGATTTTGCTCACACATTACAAAGCTTGAGCTCTGAAAATCTCCAGGGGCCCTTCCCACTCAGAACCCCAAGATCCTCTCCTGTGACCATCTCAGATGGGACAACAGAGTCAAACAGTGGGGATGGGGGCAAAGCACAGGTTTATTGGTTTCCAGCTCCAGGCAGTGCACTGGCCAGGCCCCAGGGCAGGATTAGAGGTGGAGCCAGAGCCAGCACTTCCAGATCTTGCTGGTCCTGGAAATGCCGCCAGGAGAGGTCTCCCTTTCCCAGTCACCTCCTGCCCCACGGTCATACTGGGGTGGGTGGGCCTGTCCTGATTGTGATTTAAAAATTCAACCTGGAAAAATAACTTTTGTGAACATTCCACTCTGGCACCAGCAGACAATGCGCTGTCATATAGCACCAGCCAGGATTCATTCCCAGAGGATGTCTGAACGGGCACAGGAGCTCAGTCTCCTCTTCCCGCTCCCTGCCATATCTCTGTCAGAGGCCTCAGGACAGCACGTAGACCTCCAGCAGGCTGGAGACGGCGTGCATGCGGTAGAAGATGCCAAAAGGGAGGCAGATGTTGACGATGGCTGCCCAGAGGGAGTAGCCGTAGAAATCCACCTCCACTGTGTTGCTGAAGTGAGGGCGGGCCCCGAAGGCGGGCATGATCCACAGCTGTGAGGAGAGAGGAGCATTTCAGGAGCCGGCCCAGATGGAAGCCTGTGGGTCATTTCTGTGGGCTTTGCTGGGCTGTGGCAAGATGGGAGCCCATCCTTCTAGCTTGGTGGACTGGGAGAGCTGGGTGTCAGTGAATGGGCAGCTCCAGTATTTTAGACAGGACCTGGCACTCTCTAAGGGGCTCAGGAAGTAAGCCCGACTAAATTTGCCATCCCCAGGCTAGGATTCCACCTGTGATCGCCTCTCCCAAAATCTTAGCAGGGTCTCAGTGTGGGATGGGGGAGGGGAGAAGGGGTTTCACTAGAAGAAGAGGTACAAACAGCGAAATCAGCAGCTCTGTCCTGGGGGGTTGTGTGCACAGGCGTGAGGGTGGCAGAATCAGATAGCCTAAGGGGAAGGGGTTTGGGGTTCAGGCAGAAGGCCACTGTACCCTATCCCTTCCTGAGCTGTGCCCTCAAGCTCTCTCCTCATCCCCTTCTCCCTTCCCAGGGCTGGGAGAAGGTGAATGTTGGAATTCTGCTTTTTCTCTGGCTATGAGCTCAGAAGGTTCAGGTGTGAGTAAGAAGCAAAGAACAAAGATTTTTAGACTAGCCCCACCCCTACCCCCAATTAACTTTGTCCTTGGGCACACTGCAGTCTCCGCAGGCACCCTGAGCCTGTTCTGTCCTATAAAATGAAGGAGATGGAGAAGATGCTATTGGAGGTGATTTAGGCTCAGATACCTGGAGCAAGAATAGCCTCCCAGAAGGTGGCCCCTAGCCTATAAGCTGGGCCTGGGTGGAAGGTGGGGTCAGGGCCAGAGGGCAGGGGGACAGGCGCCAAAGTCAGTCCAAGACATGCTAAGGTCTGGGCCTTTTGCTTCTACTGATAGGGTCAGAGACTGATGACCACTTTTTTTTTTTTTTTTTAAGAGTCCCACTCTGTCGCCCAGGCTGGAGTGCAGTGCAGTGGTACCATTTCGGCTCACTGCAACCTCCGCCTTCCAGGTTCAAGTGATTCTCCTGCCTCAGCCTCCTGAGTAGCTGGGATTACAGGCACGCGCCACCACGTCCAGCTAATTTTTGTATTTTTAGAAGACATGGGGTTTCACTATGTTCATCAGGCTGGTCTCGAACTCCTGACCTCGTGATCCACCCGGCTGGTCTCGAACTCCTGACCTCGTGATCCACCCGCCTCGGCCTCGCAGGCCTCCCAGGCCTCCCAAAGTGCTGGGATTACAGGCGTGAGCCACCGCTCCTGGCCTTTTTTAAGTGAGATTAACTCTGTTGAAAGGCTCCTGCATGGCATCGTCCCACATCTATGGGTACCACGTCCTGGAGGATGGCTCTTCACAGTGGGACTCACTAAGAACAGCTTGTAGTTAGGGCTGCTGGTTCACCTCATGCAGGTAGGATTTCATGGGGTAGAATTCACTCTGGGATCTCTCTCTGTGGGATATACCCACATTAAGTAATTTTCTATATTAGGGATATTTTTCGATTGGAGATTATAGCTGAAAGAACTGTTTTTCTGCTGAGTGAAACTTCATTAGAAGTGTTCTTTTCTCTTTGAGATGTACCCACATAGGTATATTTCTATATCAGAGGTAATTATAAACCCCACTGGGCCATTTCTATCTTGGATTGTACTAGAAACATCAAGAGTCTTTCCCTATTGGGGTGCATCTTCATTCCCAGTGTTTCTGCCCTGGGGTGCTTCTATATAGAGAACATATTTGTATTGGGTGAAGTCTATCCGTCTTTTTTTTTTTGAGACAGAGTCTCACTCTGTTGCCCAGACTGGATTACAGTGGCATAATCTCAGCTCATTGCAACCTCTGCCTCCTGGGTTCAAGCAATTCCCTTGCTTCAGCCTCCTGAGTAGCTAAGATTATAGGCACGTACCATCATGCCTGGCTAATTTTTTTTTTTTTTTGAGACGGAGTTTCGCTCTTGTTACCCAGACTTGAGTGCAATGGCACGATCTCGGCTCACCGCAACCTCCGCCTCCTGGGTTCAGGCAATTCTCCTGCCTCAGCCTCCGGAGTAGCTGGGATTACAGGCATGTGCCACCATGCCCAGCTAATTTTTTGTATTTTTAGTAGAGATGGGGTTTCACCATGTTGACCAGGATGGTCTCGATCTCTTGACCTCGTGATCCACCCGCCTCGGCCTCCCAAAGTGCTGGGATTACAGGCATGAGCCGCTGTGCCTGGACAAGTCTGTTGCTCTTAATCTTTGCTGAGTCACTGGGGAGGGGATGACTGTTGTAGATGCCCTCCTTCCCAACTGGCCTGCCACTTCACTCTGCTAACAGACTGCTCACACTTACGCTGGTCTCCGCTACTTCCTGATGCTGCTCCAATTATTCTGAGAAGCAGGCAGGTCACAAGTTCCCAGGAGCAGTCACACCTCCCACTGGGGGGTGAGGGCTCCCACCTTCCACATCAGCTCTCAGCTCCCTCTCACCTGTGCCCAGCCCCTGTGTCAACCTTCCCTGGGACCCCTCCAGCTCTATCTGGTGCCTAGATGCCAGAATGCTAGGATTTCATATTCTCTGTGTGCCCTGAGATGCCATTTGCCCCAAAGCTACCACTGGCCCCTCTGAACCTGCTCCTTTCCTAGAGAGGTGTAAAATTCTCAGGTGGGCTGTGG